TTCGCATGTGGGTATACATGGAAATGAAAGAGCAGATGCCCTTGCAAATGAAGCCCACAATAATGTATCCCAAGTAATAGAAATACATCCATACAACAACTATCGAATCATAATCCATAATGAAGCACAAACTAATCACCCCCACCCAGGAACGGCTTCTGGACTACCTCCTCCAACCATTCCTAAAAACAAATTCCCGAGACCGCAACAATCGTTGCTACATAGACTACGAGTCAACTGTGCAAACACCTACTCTCGTCTACATCTCATGAGACAAGCGTCTAGCCCAAACTGTCCCGCATGTGATGAAAGAGAAGATCTGGACCACATCTTTTGGACATGCCCACAAAACGCCAATTCAAGAAACGTCCTGAAAAAATCTATTGCGAACGGCAGTAACCAGGATACCCGAAGTCTTCTTTTTCCCGCAGGACCACAAGCACTAAGGGTGCAAACATTCAAAGCCATCCTTCTTTTCCTCCAAGAGACTGGCCTCTCAACACGCCTCTAGGCTGTACTGACGGGCGTCAGCCATCCTCCTCCTCTTAACCACTCTTGGTTTCCCTTTCCCCAAGCGGAACGAGAAAGCTGACCCCGCTATTGGGAGACTAACCTCTCGTTCCGCATTACCCCCTTTTTCTTTTGCTCAATAAACTCACTCACTCACTCACAGTGCTCAACAGTGCCATGCATGGGAGCCAGAAACGCCCGCCAGCGAGACACAAGTATTCCGAAGGTGTTTTCTACTGTACGCCTGCCCCGGGAGAGCCTGTAGTTGAAGACCTTTTTTCGGTAGTCCAAGCCTCTTCCGGGGAAAGGGCGCATGAGGTACGTTTTCAACGGGAAGGCTTCATCCCCCAGGAGGCACAGAGGTGGTGCAGGCTGTGCGATTATAGGGATCTGGAGGGTGTTGGCAGCTAACGCCTTTCCGAGGTTAGACTCTCTCAACACACCGCCATCGGACTAGTGCCCGGCAGCCCCAATGTCCACCAGTCGAAACCTGTAGTGGGCGTCAACAACAGCGAGCAGCACCATCGGGTAGAATTTCTTGTAGTTGTGAAATATTGAGCCAGAGTTTGGTGGTCACTTGATCGCAAAGTGCTTGCCATCTATTGATCCAATGGCGTTAGGAAAGTTCCACTTGACGCAGAACTCCCTTCGGATCTCTTCCCACTGTTGTGATGTGGGTGGCTGCAGCACGAACGGGGAGAGGCAGTCCCAGATGGCTGGCAGCGTTTCCTGGAGGATCCCCGATAATGTTGCTTTATGCATCCGGTAACTTATGGCCACATGGCCCAGAGATCCTGGTGATGCAAGGAACCTAGAAATGTGAAAAACAAAATTGTGAGACTTAGTACCTAACTCAGAGCAACTGTTTAGTCAGTCATTTCCACTGTTTGTGACTAAGAACGACCTACGAGAGTGCTCCGTCAGACTTATATTGCTATACACGCAATATGTAAATATGTACTAAATGTGTTTGACTGACGCCCTACGGTGTTTTAAAATAGTTTCTACTCTAAAACCGCACGCAAAAATCAAGGAATTGGCGCATGAAGTGGAAATTGATCTCGAATATGAGTTTTACTGTGCTGATTTACTCATTAAAAATTTCAGTCTCAATTTAAAGTGAAAAAAAAAAAATGAATGACGATGTCGCCAAATGGGTCAGCCTTTCTATTTAGTAAAATATGTGTTTGATGTAGTAAGTGTTACAATGATACGTTGATCCGCTTATTTATGAGTGTCTCAAAATAAAGTTACAAGGTAGTACTAATGGCCCGTCGAACATCAGCAACTGAACCTATCAAGTTGAAACTTACCTCGAATACATACCTCACTAGTCCCCGTTACATATTACAAATTCAAGTCTCTATTTAAAGTACGAAAAAATTAAAAAGAAATCTTTCCCATTTTAGGCTTTTTTTTTCGTTCTAGGAGTTCATACTTAAAATTTGAATGCGTGCGGTACATCCAACCAGTAAAGGAAGCATTTAAGGTAAGTTTCTACTTGAAACGTCGCGTCCCTGATTTTTGCTGGCGATTTAAGAGCCAAAACTTTATTTTGAAACGCACTGTCGAGATTGGGCCTCTCAATTAAAATATCGGAGTAGATGAGAGCGCATAAGTTCCCGGTTTGAGGTATTTTAATACGAGTTGGGCGCGTGTACGGCGGTAGTACACCGCCTAGAAGCATAACCTAATCAGTCAAGCATCCGCGAAAATGAAGTGTGTATCAAATATGTAGTACATAGAGCGCCTCAATGTACTACTTCTGTTTTGGGGGATGCCACCGTTTGTAGTGCCCGATGCCGACAGCACGCGCTCACAGGGAAAATACAAAGAAATCGCAAGAAACAAAATGTTGGCTTAGCATAGTCACGCCAGGAGCGCGTGCAGGGACACGCTCTTTCACGCTTTCAGAACAAAAAATAAAAAATAAGCGTTCGAAACAAAATGGTGAAATGTCATCACCCCAAGCAAAGTGCACATGAAGGCACCCTAGTAGTACATACCTCAGTGTGATGGCCAGCCGCTCAGCGGGCGAGATGGGAGGGCGATGTGTGGGCCAGTGTACAAGACGGTCGTGGACGAGTCCGAGCAGCTCGTCCAATGAAGCCTTCGTCATCCTGCAGAAAAGAAACGACAGAATTGATTCACTATGATAAGCGACATGACTATCGACCGTCGCCTTACCTGAAATATTGGAAGTGGTATTCTGGGTCGGACTCGCGCAGCTCCTGTACTAGATGGTAAAATTCTCCAAACACTGTGCGCTTATTAAATATGTCTCGTACGTACATCGTGCGTGTTCTCTGGCGCCGAAATAAAAGCACCGCTGCAATTTTTTTTTGCTGATCTAAATACATCGCGAATCGGCTCTCCATGGTTCCTCCTGTCTGAACAAGTCAGGACAGAATGCAAACGGAAACGGAAATAAACCATCAGCCTATGTCGCGGTTGTCATGGCGACGCGCAGGCGCAACGCGAAGTGCGCGTCGGAGCGCGCTGGACCGCGATGGAGTATAAATGCCGTTGACCGCAAACTTTTCAGCGCAGCGTGTCGTGTCGTTGTTGACGACGAACGCCGGCGCACGTCACGTTCGTCGACGTCGGAGTATAAACAGCCCTTTACTCATACAGCGATATCTCAAACGGATGACCGTATTTTTGAAGAAAAAGAGGCGCATTTGACAGAGATGTTCACGTCATGTTTCTCCGAGAAAGAGAGGGAACGGCCTCGTGTCTTCTCCGCCTCGCGGCCTTGAGGGACGGAAGCGAAGAGAGGAGGAAACTAGGTATCTCACGCCACGCGCCTCGTCGGCCTGGTTCAATCTCGACCTCTTTTTCCAAAATTACGGCCGCCCATTCGAGATATCGCCTTACGAGTAGTGTTGTAGGGATTTTAGCGTCCCGCCTACATCTCCCGCATTGTTTTATCTGAAACACAAATTTCGGTTCACCATCCCTTAAACATTGCCCGAACTTGGGAATTCTGCAAATGAAACTTTAACCGCCCGATTTGACCGGACAAGCGCCCATGTCTAGGTTAATCCAGTTTTCAGTGAAAATGATGTGGGCGCTCCCCCGGTACTTTACGGTAGGCGTCGTCGAACGCTCAGACATTGAGCGCTCAGCATCTGATCCCAGCTAGCACGCTGCGATTGGATGCCAAAGTTAAAGAACTTAGTTCTCTCATTAAGCGTTGTAAGTGATTGTCCGAACTTTTCAACGAGGAAATGGCAGCCAACGCAGCCCGCCAATACATGCGCTTGAATGGCGTCCCCTACAGGCAACGGGCTCCCTTCCTTCATTGAACATTTCTTCTGTAAGTCGGTTATAACTTTTTCATTGAATAACGGTAAGTTTCAAAACCTTGGCATCCGGTCCCAAATGCTGGCTCTACGTTGGGGAAAAAACTGCGCACTCGGCGACGCATAGTTTATTTTGCGGAGAGAAACGCGTGGTCCTCTTTATTCCCAAGAAGCACCCGACGAACCAGGCGCAATGTGTCGGCGGCCCGATACACTCACAGTTTGTCCCCGATGGCGCCGCACTCCTGCAAGATGTTGTGGAGCAGGATCATCTTGCCGCTGACCTCGTACATGTCCTCCTCCGAGACGCAGCGGTGCCACCATTCCTTCGACTGGGGCGAAGGAGTCGTTTCTTCCTCGCTAGATTCGCCGAGAGCCGCTGACAATGAAACCGGTCACCAAATGGATGAGAATGACAGGGCGCCTCTTCCCAACGCCCAGCACACGCCCGTCGCCTTTTGCCCAGCATAACTGGAAGTAAAACGACACTAGCCAGCAAAGGCAGACACAGCCGAACTTGTAACTTCGAGCGAGCACGCAATTCGAAAAACGCGAAAAAAAAAAAAAAATCCCACGTAAAAGCTTTATTGCAGATGCCCCTACCGAGAAGCCAGGTCGGCTAACGAATATCACCTGGGATCCTTGTTTTCCAGGCTTTGACCACCTCGTCTCCAGTCTCGTGCCCGCTGTCCTTCCTGCAACTGCAAGGAATGTTTCGGTCGCGAGGAAAATAATTTTTGTGAGCTCTGTACATTAAATTTGCATCCATTCAACGTCGACCGACTTGACGTCTCGTTTCGTTCTATGGCATTCTCGCGCAGTCGAAACCTGCTGCGAATCGAATGAAATAGCAAGCGCCATCTGCAAATTATTTGAATTTTCGCGTATCTTCGCTAGCAACTTATAGCAATGTAAACAGAACTGCACTTTGCGAGCAAACTGCAGTGTGTCCCAAACTTGGAACCAAAGTTAGAGTGCTTGATTGTCAAGGTCGGCCCTGCCCCGCAGCGACTAATAGCAATTAACAACCGCAAACCACTTTGACCAATAAGAGCAAGTTCAACTCAAATCAATATTACAGCCCCTCTTTTCTTCTTTTTTCTTTAATTCAATCTTCAGAAAATTCGACCTAACTTCAAGGTCTTGTCAAGGTCAAATTATCCAAAGATTATTACACATTGTTATTCATTTGTACAATGTCACATACTGTAAACGACTTTATCTTTGTTGGCTTAATATCGAAAAAATTTTGTAAAGAGTGAATTTCAGAAATACTTCGCAGGGCAAAAAATTCCGCGATATAATCGCGAGAACCGATGTTTCGCAATATTTCTCGAGCCACAAAACTAAAGAAAATTAGGTTCTCGAAAAAATAAGGTGGAACCTCGACCACGCCGTTGTCTAAATTACGAAAATGAGGGACATCGTAGACAATCGACAATCGTAGTTTATAGTCATCGCGCAGTTTATCGCGTCGGTCAAAGCGGCAAAAAGCTACATGCCCTTTGCCGGTGGAGGGCTTGTCTTGGTCGAGGTAAACGGCTTCTTCGTTGCTGTCGCTTTGGCTGCTCGAACTCTCCGAACCGTCGTCAATGCTCGAACTCTCCGCACCGTCATCAATGCACGAACTCTCCGATCCGTCGTCGATGAAAGAGGACATCCAATCGCTCGATTCATCCTGAGCGAGAAAACAGACGGATGTCTTTCGGTGCTTGGAACGCGCCTCGAAACGGTGCGTTGACGACGTCCTAAAAAACCTGCGGTGGCTTAGCTCGGCTATGCCAGGATATACGTAGCGTGAGCTTATGCGCACAAAATGAGAGGCGCTCTCAAGCGGCTCCGGTGCAGCGTCAGACTTGGCTACTGCGCAACGGAGGCGCACAGCTGGGCACGCGGCGGCGCCAGTGCGTCTGCCACGGCTATGACGTCACTCCTCTGGAATGAGCAGACCGACGAGGCGGGCGCGGTGGCAGCGGAGCGGGCGGCGGCGGCTCCGGCGCGCCAGCTGTGCGCCGTGTGACATCGCTGCTCCTCGCGCATGCGCGGCACGGAGCACGGCTCATTATGCGAGCCACGCGAAACTGCTCAACCTTGGCCAGCGTAGCTCACGCTACAAAAGTGGTCCCTCAATTTTCGCGCAACGACATTCCTGAAGTGTCGTCGCCGACCTCGATCCCGGCGGCGTATAAGCAAGCCATATCCCGTACAGCACCTGGCCGCGTCCCTCCGTCACGTGACATGACGTCACTTCCGCTAAACCAATTTGCCATGTCACGTGACATGACGTCTCTTCCGCTCCAAAACGAAACCAGTTGTTTTATTGGTTTGTGAAATGGTCACGTGACATGACGTCCATCGCGCTGCTGTGGTAAGGCAAACCTGGGTAGCTAAACTCGTGGAGCAAAACATTCTTCGCTTTTTGACGTCGCGGGGGGAGTGACCAAAAGAACGCCGCAAAGTTTCCTCCTCCCTGCGCGCGCTCAACTTCGCAACTTTTGACGAAAAATCCCCCGCGATCCCTAGGCGGTGCACGAGAGCACGAGACAGCGCGGGGAGGCGAGCGTCCACGCCGCTCGCTGTACGTTGTCTTTGAGCCCTCTAGCGCCGACAATCCCGTCGTCACAGACGGCGTAGCAGACGACGAGAGTTCGTCTGCTACGATATGGCATTCGCACAGCGGAGCTGAAAGAAAAAGTTGGTTTTCTGCTCGAAATCGCGTCCCGCGGGCCAGAAACTCAAACGCGAGCTTGAATTGTAAGCCTCTGATATTTCACGAAGAAAGGAATCGACAGCCCGTCTTTTATTTGCGAAATTTGAGTCGTTTTGTAGCCGTACAGACGCTGAAACCTACCAGTGTGTAATGAAAGGCCCAGGACAACCACAGGGGCCGCGAGATCTAGCATCATTTGTGTATGGGTGAAAAGTGCAACATTTTTCGACAAAGCTCCCACAGCAAAAACCTGCGACGGATTTACTCAGCGTCCGGGAAGGCTAAACATGGAGACGTTGCCCGAGACTCAAGCGAAGTCATATTTGAACGGCAGCTATCTCGCCCCGTCATATTTTGTTTTGAGAAAGCTCTCGTTCTCAATGCCAGAGAAATAAAAAGTCTTACGAAACCTATTGCTAGCTGTTCCAAAGAACTAGATTTAAGCCGTATCCTTTCAGTTATTCACTCATAATATTATGCTTAAAACGAAGCAAGCTCTTGCGCGTACAGTTCCATCAATTTCCTCAAGCGTATGCTGTTTTGTAGTCAACTGGTTTCGGAAACTTACGCCGTCTGTAGATATCTCTGACTGCCGAGTTGCTTAAGTGGAAGTCATCGCAAATGTAAGTCCCACGTTGCAGCAACCAACGTTTAAACGATGGCAGCGACTGCACTCTCGCATTCCCACCCATCACGTCGAACAAAAAGGCGCTAGTTTCGGTTTGAGGTCGGTACTTTTCTACAACATCTATGGCGATGCGACAGCATCAGTCTGCGCTGGGTGCATTCGGCAAGTTCGTTCGGGGCCTGTTCTCCGTGCAGCACTCGGCGGGTGTAATGCATTAGAACTCTGACAGTGCAAATCTGTATCGCGAATTGGGAGCCCGTCACTGGCCTCACCGGCGGCCATTGCTTGACGACAGGCAATATGCCGCGTCCTGTCTAGTTCTCCCTTCGTTTTCGTCCTTGTTGCTTTGGCCTTTTACATCATGAGGCGATACACGCAAGTCTAAGGAAGAAATATGCAAAAATTGGAAGCTTGTACGCGGTGCTCGAGGGCGAGCATTTTATGACGTGCTGCGATGATCATGTCGGGTTCTTGGAGATCAAATAGACCTTCGTCAAGCGTTTGAACATCGATTAAAAAAAAATTGGCCGGAGCACGATTGAATTTACCGACGTCGCTTGCTTCGGTTTCTAAATAAATGGCACGTCGAGCGACTGAACGGCACGCTCCGAGTTTCAGTTTGTCACGGAAGCCCTCACAGGAGTTCAAAGAAAAAGCTTTCACCATGAAGCACTATGTACAAGCGGTCAAAACGATGCGAAAATCCCCAGTAAAGGCATTCTAACTTATCGTTTGCTGAGCTTTGATGACTCCGAAATCACGGATGACTCCACAATAACTCTCGGTAGCCCCTGTCTCATCAAACACATAACAGTTAACGCCCAACAAAGTAGCCCTGGACCCTCAACCACACAACATTTAGTTAAACAAGATTGGTATTCTAACGCGTTTAATATTCTTGCCCACAATATTAACTGTTATTTGCGGAAACATGATAGAAGTTTCATGGTAGAGAACAATTTACTAACGTAATAAAATTGAGTTGTGTCAAGCGATGACTGCCGGTGGTGCCGCTCGACCCCAGCAATACAGGCCTCTATCCACGATCTAGCCTCCTAAGAAATCAGTGGTGCCAGTGCTATTAGACATAAATCGTTTATTTGCATCGGTACTCCCATACCTGCCGGATGTAGGGACGAGGCGCAAAACCGTACATCCGGCCAATATTGAAGCCGGTTTTCGGACGATATTGCCTCGACACTCGCCAAGAAGCAACGTGCTGTTTCGGCGACTCGTTTGTGTAATTTATTTGTTCAGTCATATTAATGGGTCCCGGGCCACTGTGTACACCCCTAAAAAGAAATTTACTGTGGTAATTACACTTTGAGGAGAAGCAGGCACGTAGCCAGATTTTCGGTTAAATGGGGGGGGGGGGGGGGGGGGGGCCGATGACAAAGTGCTCTATGAGGGGGAGGGAGGAGAGGAGGCCCCAGCAAAATAGAAAATTTCGGAGGGGGGGGGGGGCGGGAAGGCCAGGCCTTATGCCCCCCCCCCCCCTCCCCTTGGCTGCGTGCCTGACGAGAAGGGGTATTGTAGTTTTACATCTTTATAAAAAGGTGTAGGCATTATCATACGTTTTAAGAAACGTGTTTAAAAAATCACACATTTTTAAAGGTGTGAAGTTTACATTTTTTTTATAAGGTCCATCGCTACACTTATGAGGGTGTTAGTTATGGCACACCCCACTTACATGTTTAAAGGTGGGAAAATGCTTAATGCGTATATACCTCTAACGGAAGACAATCTCTTTCATGTGATTACATCGCGTGCCGATGAAACGATTTGTCGTTGACACGTCGTTCGATGAACTGATTTGACCGCCAATGAGTGACGACTGCCAGTAGAATTTCGGGGAAATAATTCTGCCGGCTGCCGGGAGACTCGACCCTACCCAAGAATTACCCCGGTTCTTGTTTGTTTTCCAACATTCTGAATTGTATACCAGCTTATTAGTACCTCTTCGGATATTACAGAAAAAAATAAAATAAAAAAAAAAGCGATGGCAGCCGCAAAAACTCTGACAGCCCGGTTCACAGTCATGTGGGAGACTGACAGGTGCTCGTCAGTCGCCACCATGCCTTGAAAGCTACCGGTTCCGAAGAACCGGAGCGCGCAGAGAACTTGTTGTTCCCGGTCCGAGGCGGCGAACGAAGCTCGTCGCAGAGTAAACGCACAACGGCTTTGGATAGCCGGTACTGTCGCCGAAAGTCGTCGTCGGGGAGTTGAAAGGCGTCCCCAGTGGTCTCAGTAGCGACGCCGACGGTGGCGGAAGATAAGCTCGGCCGCAGCGTACGGCACCGCCATGTTGACAAAGTTTAACTTCGCCTCGATCCGAAGCGAAGATCTCGAGCTCAAACCGCGGCTCTCGCAAAGTTCGGAAACGTCACTTTGACGTCAGCGACAACTTCGACAAACGAGGTTTCTTGTTAACACAAACTTCGGAGGGATTTTGAGCGTCAGCAGGTCGCCTAGGGACAATCTGCAAAGCATTGATTTTAGCTTGGCGTAGGGATGTAGGGACAAATGGGCGCTACGTCATCGGCGAAGCCGTTCAATCAGCGGGCTCCTCGCGCCCCTCACGCGCCGCACGCGCGCCTCGATGAACTTTGCTTCGAATGATTGACACCTCGCTCGGCGCGACGTCAGCGGCGCGAGAGTCCAATTAGCGCGTTCCGCAACTTTCGGACACAAAGTTGTGCTTGACGAGTTTAGCGACCCTGGCGTACGCCGCCGCCTGAAACACGAAGCCTACGCGGTCGATGAGATGCAGGCGCGGCTGAAGCCTGAAACGCTTGAAGTAGGAAGCCTACGCGGTCGACGCAGTCGCGGCTGAGGACCGAAAGTTAAACTTTTAGGACAAAATCGTTGCGAGTGATCAGCAGGAAACACCACCGAGAAGCGGCCATTTTACATTCGATGTTGACTGCACATAGAATGGCTTGGTTTGGCAGCGCTACTTGAGTACTGCTAAGTTCTCCCACTAGGTGACGCTGCACGGCTTTTTGTTCTCTTGTTGCGCATCATTATCATCATCATTATTGTTACCATTTTGCTTTGTTCATTCGCCATTGCGGTCGTGGACTTCCGCCTCTCATCTCGATATCGTTTCGGTGAATCGTGTTAAAGGTGTGTCCAAACAGGATAGTACAAAATGCACGACTCCGACAAATCGTGCAGCGCTCTGCTTTCGGTTTTTTTTGTATTTTTTTTTTTTTTTGCCGGGGGGGGGGGGGAACTTTTTCCTGTCAAATCTGCCGGGGGAAACTTCCCCCCGTCAAATCTCCCCCTTGAAGTTTGATGGGGGGGGGGGGGGGGGGGGTTCCCCCCGACAGATATGACGGGGAGAAGTTCCCCCCCGGCAAAGAAAAACAACCGGAAGCGGAGCGCCGCACGATTTGTCGGAGTCGTGCGTTTCGTAGAATCCTGTTTGGACACCCCTCCGCTGGCTTGGACATCATTGCCCCATCTGTTCTTCCGCCGCCGCGATGCGTCGCTAAGAAGCGCAGAACGTACTCGACCTAACTCGACCTTAGCGCTAGAAAAGAGGGCAGCGATTCTCAAGCTAATAGAAAGTTGTCCAACGAAAACTGAGGCGTAACCTGAAATAAGGCGCGCAGGCGTAATCTGAAGCAACTCACTATTTACGGTTTTTATAAGCCTGCTTAGACGTCATAAAGGCAGGTTTTATTAAATGGCTGAATTTTCGGACCGCTCTATTATTATGAGCTTTTTTCGGTCCCTGCGAAGTCCGAAAAATCGGTCGGCGATTGTAGTCCCAAGTGGCGGCCAAGATGTGTTCACACGAAAGAGAGTTGATGAACACGGCATGCTGAGAGTCGTGTCCCATTTATCAACTCCTTCCAAACGCACCAATGCCTGCCTATACTCAACATCAACTTTTGCGCCACACCAAAAAGGACAGCACCGTTTCTGCAGTGCTCCAATACTGCGGGACATCTAGAACATCTGGCGCCTCCGCTCGTGACCCCTCCGCTAGGTGGCACTTGATACGCAATCAGGTTAAATTCCCTTATATCGGCAGGCATGGACAGAAGCGACGGAACCGGTGTAACGTAGGATGCACATTGCCTGCGGGGGAAGGAGTTCTATCGTGGCTTTTATGATGAACATAAATTCCACGCAAAACATTTATGCAAAATGAGTGTCGTTCGAGAAAACGGTCCTTCTCCGCCACCTGTGGGAGCGCTCACTCTCGTGGCGCTAGGGTCGCTGTCCACTTGCACCTGCTCACGGGGGGCAATAAAGGACAGATTTCGAATGACGCTCTTCCGTGGAGCTTCTCAACCGATATTCTTACGTACCTCATTATTGCGGTTAATACATCATTATTATATGTTGCCCGCTGAACTTGTAGAACTGCAACTGCTTACAGTTAGCTGTCAAAAAAGAGCTTAGACAGTGGTGTTCCGGGACGGAACGCCACGGAAACTGTGAAAAAACACATGCAAAGGAAAAAACTTTTTTTTCTTTTAAACAGCTTACATGGAAAAAGGATGTCATAAAACAATATTACAACGAAGAAAAACATTTTTAGAGCTATACTTCAGCGCTATACGAATTTGTAGTTGGCGCCCACCGGCGCCGCAGAAAAGTGGACCTTATTTATCACGTGACTGGCCCTTATTTATCACGTGGTGCTTGCGCTCTTTCGGAAGCTTCGTATGGCGTCTAAAAGTAACTTATTCATCCTTGTTTGAAGTGTAACAAAAAAACAAAGATTAATAGGTAACTTTTAGACCCCAAAGGAAACTCCTGAAAAAGCGCAAGCAGACGTGATAGATCTGTGTGCCAGTCAGACGATGGCTGCGGCGACGGCGGCGTGGAGCAACGCGTTGAAGCGGCGTTCGCACAACGTTCAGCGTGCGGCGGCGCTTGACTTTGCGGCGGCGGCGACGCAGCGCGGCGGCGCGCGGGACTACCACGTGACCAGTGGCGGCTCTTGCGGGTGCCAACTACAAATTCGTATAGCGCCGTAAATATAGCTCTAAAAATTTTCTTTCTTCGTTGTAAAATCGTTTAATGACATCCTTTTTCCATCTAAGCTGTTAAAGAAAAATGACGTACTGGAAAGAAATTCGAAACGTGTCACCAACGGGAATCGAACCCACGACCCCGTGATCGCGAGCTCGACATTCTACCACTGCACCAATTGGAGACAAGAGGCAAAGCCGGCTTACTTCGTTTCCATCAGGGTGGTCTTTACTAACTGGCCGAACACGAATGCCAGACACTGACATTCCCGTTCGGCGTTCGAACGGGTCATAGGACGAAACAGGAAATCCAGGACGTGCCCACCATCACATAAGAAATGACAAAGTTTGGAATAAAATACCACGCTAAAAAACAGGATTTCGTCTTTCCGGATAAATTTGAAAAAGTCCGAGGAACACTCTCCGGTAAATTTCCCGTCAATTCCGATCTATTCGAAAAACTAGAATTTAAGAGCACAGCGACAAAACAAAAATATAAAAGACGTTGTTTCAGAACTAAGCTTTATAAAAGCGCGGGTTCAGTGGTCCTGGGGAGACGCCACTCCAGTTTCCTTTGATATTTATAACTACTGGCAATGGTAGTTTTCCTTTTAGCACGTCGGGGTTCCTTCACGTCAACGGGTCATGGTACCCCGGCTTTATTTATTTTTTTTTTAATTTTGTAATGTATAAGAACACTATAAAACAGGCTGCGAATTACAAAGAATTTTGAATCTAACAAAAATAAGCTCCTATAAACCCCAAATTTTCAGCCAAAAAATAAACTCAGAAAAAGCACCCTCTGAGTTTCACAAGAAATGAACTTTTGAAATCATAAAATCCTAACTATCAAAAAAGAAAAAAAAAGTAGAAATTGTTGCTGTTACCACGTTGTGTGAAATGCGTTAGCATTTGACGCAGCTGATGCATTAAAAAAGGAACAATGTCGCAGAGAAACATTCTGCGTGTACCGACTTGTATCCGTAGGATCAAGATATATCGAGCCTTTCAACACGATCATTATCCAAGAACATTGGTCTGACCTTGAGGAGCTCCTTGGCCCTGGCGCGCTCGGCGCTCATGACGAGCAGCGCGGGGTGGGTCCAGATGTTGCGCAGCACGTTGAAGTCCCAGAACAGGGACATGCCCTGGTTGGGCTTGCTGTTGCGGCCCCCTCTGGCCAGGTGGTCCAGGAAGTGGCGGTACAGCTGCACTTGCACCTCCGACAGCCGCACGCTGATCACGTACTCGCACTTGGGTGGCAGGAAGGGCTTCAGGGCGTTGTAGTCGCAGCGCTGCGCACGATTGAATCCAATATGGGAGTTTTACGTGCTGAATCATGCCCCAGCAAAGGACTGGGGATTCGTTTGGACCACCTGGGGATCCTTAGAAGTGCAACCGAAAACTCATTTACGTTTTCTCTGCAATCAGCCTCCATCGGACTGCATGCACCTCGGCCAGAATTCAAACCCGCCACCTGGGGATCTGTGGGCCGGCGCTTTGCTCTGGAGCCACCGAGGCATTTCCCCCTTTTTTTAAATGCAATGGAATTTCTGAACAAACCTTACCCTTACAAGAATGGTCAATGAGTTTCAATCGACTTTCTATTGTGTTCCTATAGAGTCAATTGAAACTCAATATAAACTCAATGTCTAATGAGTTTGATCATTAGAAACTCAATTTTGATTCTATTGAATTTACTCATTAGGAATGCGATTGAGACTGATCATAAGGCACTCAATATCGATTCTATTGACTTTACTCACTAGGAATGCAATTGAGTTTGATCATTAGAAACTCAATATAAATTCTAATGAATTTATCATTAGGGATGCAATACAGTTTTATCAAAAGAAAGTCAATATCGATTCTATTGAATTTACTCATTAGGAATGCAATTGAGTTTCGTCATTAAGAACTCAATATCGATTCAATTGAATTCACTCATTAGGAAGGCAATTGAGTTTGTTCAGAAGAAACTCAATATCATTTTATAGAATTTACTCATTAGGAATGCAATTGAGTTTGGTCATTAGAAACTCAATATCGATCCTATTGAATTTACTCATCAGGAATTCAATTGAGTTTGGTCATAAGAAACTCAATATCGATCCTATTGAATTTACCCATTAGGAATGCAATTGAGTTTGGTCGTTTGTAGATTACTGCACCGAACGATTATTGCTTGTACCAATGTTTTTTTTCTATTATTCTGTTAAGGGATAGAGACCAATGACGTCCAAACACTGTTTATCATTCATGAGACTTCCAAGGAGGAAATAGCAAACTGGGAACCTTAATAAATGCTGAGGTGGTCACCGGCCAAATGAATACCTTTTTTATGTAGGGTATATAAGGCGGTGGGGGGTAGACAAGGGGAGTACAATTAGTGGGTTGCGAGTGCTTAGTTATGATGATTGTGTTCGTTTCCTCCATGTGCCTTGTTTCCTTCATGTTGCATGCTTTAAGAAATTATACAAAAAGATCTCAACCAGTTGCAATTTTTTTTTAAACCCAGTTGAAATAATTTTATTGAAACACGTAGCGAAAATTCACTTGAAAGTCAATTGCAATTTTTTTATTGAAACTCAATAGCAAAAGTTCTATTGAAACACTATTGCCAAAATTCAATTGAAATGCAATTGCTAAAAATTCAATTAAGACTCAGTGGCCAATACCCTGGGACGGTTCAATGGGGACTCATTAGAAAAAGTAAATTGAGTTTCAATTGAGACTGAATGTGGTATATTGAGTGAGTCCTTTACGCTTTCAATTGAGACTCAATTCATTTTTTGTAAGGGTATGCACTTTCCCATCTGTTGCTTGGTTTGGAACCAACCAAGCAGCATCTATTATATAACTAATTATATTATACATACAGGGGGTGCTGCACTCAACAAACACATGGCTTGCACACGAGGTCATCCAAAGAGCGCTCAAATGGTCACCAGAGAAGAGAGGAAGAAGGAGCTCTCTTCTTACCAGGACCCTCTTTTGTGTCTCCCAGATTTTCTCAGACATTGCTATTCACCTCCCAGTAGATTATAGAATATTAATTCGTCGCTCAAAATTCCAGCAAAAGCAGCTTTCCTCTCACTCTCTTTCATATTGGTCAAAAGTATGCGATGTGACGTCAGTGCAAGCCATGTATATGATATGATAAGTTAGCATCTGAATGGCAAATAGAGCCGCAAAGCGTCCCATAATGCTCATATACATATAGTATGAGATACATTTGAATTGCAGTAATGCTACGATGAAAGTCGGTTGTTCGCGGAAGGCATGTCCGCAGGAAGTAGAGAGTTAGACCAGAAAATCGCAATTGGTTTTAAATGTAATGAAAGACTTCCTGAAGATCGCCAAAAATTTAGCCGAGAAATTTTCTCGGCAAATTTGGCGGATTCACAAGCACGCCTAAAAACCTCTCCAACAACGACTGTTGCCGCAAAAGGTCACCGACCTGGACGCAACCATTCAGCAGGCGATGCAAGACGTGCACCCGCTTCTTCATCAGCCTCACGTCCAGGGCCGTCGAGTCGGCACACTGGCCGTTGGCGATCGGGTTCACAAAGCGGTTGGAGAACTCCTTCTTGGTTCCCAGCAGGTTGGGCTTCACAAACTGCACCATGCAGTGGTCTGCAGCAAACAAAATTTCATATCAATATCTGGGAGTTCATCTAGCCACCAATCTTTTCTGGAATGATACCATAGAGTACATTTCTAACCGATCTAACAAATCTTTAGGATTTTTAAGAAGGCCTTTGTATATGGCAGCATTAGAAACTACACTACTAGCATACACTACCCGGGTTAGAGCTAAGTTTGAGTACGCATCTATAGTTTCGAGCCCGCATTAAAATCACGACAGGCTAAAATCTCTAGAAATTAGGGCAACTCGATTCATAGTAAAAAAATGTATACACCTGTAAGCGTCACTCAACTTAAAACTTCGATAGGATTATTAACGCTCCATAAGTGAAGATATATCTTGTTAGGCTATCCCACTTCCATAAAATCTTTCAAACATCACCTGAATTTCGCGAAAATAACTTCATCCCACTCACTCGTATTTTTTCTCGTCATGATCACCCTAACAAAATCCATATTCCCTTCGCCAGAACTAACTTATATATTATACATTTTCCCCGCTATTATAGGCTACGGCCGACTTAAACGGGCTGTCAAGCGAAATTACTCTCGCCAGAAACCACGACGATTTTGTAGCATTATTGCGTAAATCATTACCATGACATTCGCTTTGTGTTTATCTTTTTCTTCTTAAAGGGGTACGGAAACGAAAATTTAAATATACAAATTTCGTTCGTAAATGAGTCAAGCGTGACGGATAATAACCGTAAATGATATTCGCTCGTTTGTATTTTGAACGACTGGCTCTATTTTTCGTTCCAAACGGTGCACTCGAGGAAGCGCTCGAAGAGAAGCGAACGGAGAGCGCGATGCGTCATGGGATCTCCGGCAAAAAAAAAAAAAAGTTCCTTTTTCCCCCATGCAATAGCCATCTGGAACTCCCTTCCCGACGGCGTTGTACTCATTACTGACCCAATTAGGTTTCGCCAGGAAATCTCCTTACACATGAGCTAATCATGCCCAACTAAACCATATCGGTACTTTGTGTTCTTTACTATTGTAATCTTGACTCTCCTTTTTCTATTCTTGTCGTTTTCAAGTGTGAAAGTGTATTTTACTTTTCGTCCACTCCCTCCCTTACGTGATGCCCCACCTGGGGCCTTAGGGATAAATAAATGAAAATGAAATAAAAAAAATTTCTCGCATTGGTGACGTAGCAAGGCTGGCGGGGTTATGCTTTGCCGTTGGTGACGTTGTCAGCGTTTTTGGGGGAGGGGGGCCTTCAACAGCGTCAACGCGTTACAACCGAGCCGTTCGAAGTATCCGTGGGGTGACGAGCATTTCACGTGCGAGATCAGTCGTGTGCATCGTGTTCGTGTGGCCCACTCCAATGGCGCCCCAGGACAATTTCCTCGGGAACGTATGCTTGAACGACACAAGTGAGGATGAGGACACCGACATCGCCCTCTCTGTATTAATTTTGGAAAGCGAACACCAGCCGCCGGAACCCATGTCGGAAAGGACGGACGTGCGAGCCGGATCCAGAAGGCACGAAGTTTCTCGTCGTTCGGAAACTCGTTGATCGGCATATCGCTCTCACCGAGACGTTACCAGGCATCTTGACGTTAAAAAACGCAGGACGGCTTCGAACTTTACAGCAAAATCACAAAAACAACTCGGCGACATTTCCTTTTTTTTGTATGGCTGCGCAATTGAAGCGACGGGCGCGCTTGCACAGCCGTACAGTCGGCACTTGCGGTGCGCGAGTGCATGATGGCTCGGGACTTGACGGCGTAACCGCGGATGGTCGCCCCCCAGCAGGGTTGCCGCTTCTCCTATGACGTAGCCGATTTCGTGGAATATCTTTTCCGCTCTTGCCTCTCTGTTTTCTCTAGAAGCCTTATCGTTTGCTCTTTCTTTCCTTTAACCATTATATATTTTTTAATTACGTCAGTTCGTCATTCCGGCTTCTTTAACGTGTATCCTGTTGTATATAGTGGGAATACTTCTCTCCAGTCCAAAAGCGTTCTCCATCAGGAGGTTTGTTGCCGTGGGGGATGGAGGGAAGGGAAAAGGGGGGAGGAGGGGTTGGTTGGGAGAGATTACCAAATGTTTCAAAATGCCCGTTTTCTCCTCTTTTATTTCATTTATTTATTTATTTTTTTTTTTTTTGGGGGGGGGGGGGGGGAGTGGCTTTTGTCTTTGTGCCGGTTTGCGAACAGCCTTCCCGCGTAGGTGGTTCCGGCACTGGGCAGGCCTGTGAACTCGGAGGCAAATAAATTAACACTCAAAACGAATACCAGTAAATTGTCCGTACTGCTGTTAACAAAACTGTATTTTTTTACTTAATCTATTTTTAGACAAACGGCGCCGAAGTTAACACGCGTCACCCGACACCTGGGGGGGGGGCTTCCTCGAATTGATCCGAACCGCGCGTCCGCCCGTCGTAACCATAGAGTTATTATAATGTACGCTAGAGGTTCAACTGGCGCTAGTGTCTATGCGACTTCCATGACGCAAATTGAAGCAGACAGCAACCAGTCTACTTTTGCGGTGCTCCTGTGCATTCCTATGGGAAAACGCGCGTGCATTTTGTCTCTTCGCCGGAAAATAACACGGAACACTTTGGTCATTTGGGTCGTACCGAATAGTATGTACCTTGATTAACACTGCAAAAGTGTAATTGCTTTAGTTAGCGCATTTTTCTTCATCAGTGACCGATGTTTAACTTCGCTACATATCAGTCCCAAACGTGTGTTCCGCAGCAGTTGTGTAAAAACAAGCGACGATTCGAAGCAAAATTACAATCGAAAGGAATATAAAGTGTGTTCAAGGCTCGCCAGCAATCCGGTGACGGTTATATATTGATAATATGCCAGTCCTGTCACTACATAAAAATGACCCCGTCGTGCATGAGCGGATAAAAACGTTCAAAACGTAGAGAATAAAGTCCGTGGGCTATAAAAGTTGTCTCTTCGTATTGTTTCCTCTGCCGGGTAGCTTTTATCGGGCACTTGTTCTCAAAGATTTCGAGCGTGCGAGTGATATTTTGAACGTAGAACAAGCAGCTTCGCTCAGAGCAGAAAGAATAAAACGGTACTTACTTATTTAAGATAGGAATAGATTACGTGGCCTTCAATTAATTTTGATCGTATATGCACGTGTAGTTACTGATCCGGTGTTACTGCGTAGTTCTTGCCGTCTTTCTTAATTTCCAGATGTTCTTCGTTCGTTTGGCACGTATATCCCCCACGCTGAAAAGCGCCGACGTCGTGTTCGCGCTAACAGTGTCCGACAGTGCACATAAATACACGTACGAAGCTGTTTTAGCACCGTTTTTAATGCGATGAATTTGAAAGAAAAACACCGTAACTGACCAATTATTTCGTCGGCCTGACTGAGAAACGTTCCAAGCTACCTAGTACGTACAAATTATTCGGGATATTTGCTCTTATGATCGAGCGCAGAGAGAAAATGCACTCACTTTTTCCCATAGAAATGCATTACCGGAAGTCCATTTTAGACTGGTTGCTGTCTGCTTCAATTTGCGTCGGCACACTAGCGCCACTTGAACCTCTAGCGTACATTATAATAACTCTATGGTCGTAACCACTGTGGTCGTTGTTGTGGCGGCCAGAGACCCCCGAGGACCATTCTGGTTGTAGTGTTCTCGCGGCGGAGGACGCCATAGGGCAGGTTCGAGATTCCGTGGTACTTGCGCGTCCCGGCTTTTGCTTTGTCTTTTTTTTTTATTTATTTACTGCGTTAGATGACAAACGAAGAAGTTGTACTCCGTCTTTTGACGGTTTCGCCTTCCCCTCCCTCTTGGCCAATGTACCGACCCCATTTTTGTGACGTGTATGACCCTTGCCTGTTCCTTTCCGTTTTCACTTGAAGAAGGGCGTCCGCCCGGAACGTCCTGTATACCTTCCGGTCCACGCATTTTTTTCGAGTAGCACACCCATTTATTTGCGATTTCTCGTTTAAGCTCATTCTGCTCGGCAGCGCCCCCATTCTCTTGGACATTCACACGAGTTCATCATGGCGCCTCGTTGGCTTCCTTCGCAAAGGGGCAAAGCGCACGGGGAAAGGCTTTGCATTCGCGTTCAGGCCGGGGTAACTTACAACAGTTGAAGGTACTTCCAAAGAGCGGCGCTGCTCCGATGTTTAGTGCGGCTACGGAACGGTTCCTGCTACGTCATGACTACGTAGCGAAATTCGTAACGTTGCGAGATTACCTCTTAACTAAGCTTCACAGGCATCCACCAGGTGCACATTGAATGATTGTTTAATTAGCTTTAAATTAAGTTTTCTTGTGCCCTTCAAGGAAAAACGTGTTCTTAAGGTTATGATGCAACATGCAACACATCTAAGCTAGAAAAAGAGCGCTGGAATTTCGATTCCGTACCCCTTTAAGCAGCCCCTGTATTTTTTTTTGTGCGTGATTGAGATCCTTGTGTACGTGACCATGAGCCATGGTATTCATCGTTAAGTTCTGTTGAGCGTGATTCTGTGTCCCTTTTTATATTTTTCTTTCTTACAACATTGTGCGACTATGTATATGTTACATGTATCCCCTTTGTAATGCCCCACTGGGGCCTTTAGATGCATTTAAATGTATAAATAAATAGAATAACAAGGAAGTTTTAAGCAAAGCAGACGGCAGATTAGGCCGGGTTGGAGCTGAACTAGTTGGGCCATGCTTATGATTTTAACTAGCTGACCATACTTAGATATCTACCGTAAAATAGCGCGGAAGCGCCCACTTCGTTAAAGTGCCCACTATTTACATTTGCCAAACTGGGGAATTCTGCAAATTATACATTAAGCGCCCGATTTAACCGGACAGACGCACATGTCTAGATTAACCCCGTTTTCAGTGAGTGTGTGGGTCTGTGTGTATGTGTGTAAGGGGGGGGGGGGGGCGCTTCCCCGGTATTTTACGGTATATATATATTAAGCTGGCCCAATTCATAGATAGGTTAGGCGTGCTTGTATTGCCATAACGCGTCAAAGTAGTTAGATCGTTTAGCTTCGCTTTATACAAAGCAAAACGCCGGCATTTCTTCGCTAGATGAAGCTTCAAAGAAGGGCAGCTAACGACTTTGGAAGCGGTATTTTTCTGCTTCTTAGCGTTCATCAAAGTCGTGTTAGCAATCTGGCCCCGCCGGGACCCACGATGGCGAACCGCAGTGCCCCGCCGTTTTGAGTTAACCGAGAAGCACGAGACGACACCGAAGAAAAATGGAAATCATGATTCAGTAACGCCGACTGTAGCCAATGGTATGTAGCAGCAGGCTGCACCAGCTAGAAGGCAGGGCCTCGGCAATACCCGCCCAAGCGGAAAACACGCTGAAGCCGGACCAAAGTCGCTGTAAAGCGGCAGACGCAGTCAACTTGACGTTTCGCGTGCTAGCGTCGCGCTTGTTGCGAGACGCTGCAAAGTCAAATTTGGGGGTTTTACGTGCCAAACCTACGAGGGCATCTGGCACGCCCCAGCGGAGGACCGAGGATTAATTTGGACCACCTGGGGATCTTTTGACGTGCAACCGAAAGCTCGGTTACACGGCGCCTTCTCCGCAATAACCCTCCGTCAGATTGCGGACACCTCGGTCGGGATTCGAACCCGCCACCTGGGGATCCGTAGGCCGGCGCTCTCGCCTCGGAGCCACCGAGGCGGCTAGCGAGACGCTGCAAGACCCGAACGCGAGCTAGGCGGCGCTGCGTGGATGCTGCTGACATTTGGGGAACGTCTTCCAGGTGGCACAGACTGAACCCTCCCTCTCAAATTTTACTGAAAACTCACACTCTTGCAGGTTGTTCTGGAGGGGAGTTCCGCTGAGGACTATCCGCCGGCATGTCCTGAGCGAGTTCATGGCGATCGACAGGCTCGTCTTGTCGCTCTTCAGAATGTGCCCTTCGTCGCACACCACGATGTCCGGCCCTGGGACGCAAGAACGTCGCCGACATTTGTGGCGACGAGATTAAAGAACAAAAAAATGACCGCATCTCCACGTGGTGAATGATGTTGATTGGGGCGAAGCTCTGGTGGTGCTGATGATACTGATTTTATTGTTCATAGGTAGTGCTGATGGTGCCGATTTTTTTTATTGCTCATAGGTAGTGCTGAGTTCCGGGTTGTGTTTCGACTTCATTATTACTGCTTTATGGTCGGTAAAATGCAGAGCCAGTGGTTCTTCTAGCGGATCCATCCATTTGACCGCAGCGCCGTCTCGTCTATAAACGTTGAGCCAATGCATGCAAAGTTTAGCGCGATTATATACGCATTTGACCGCAGCTCCCTCTCCTGTATAGACGTTGAGCGGCTACATGCAACGTTTCATCCATGACGACCCCAGCTCTTGAGTTACTACCCCATCTCAGAGCCCCCTACTCGTCCCGCAGTCGTGGCCGAGTGGTTAAGGCGATGGACTATAAGTCCATTGGGGTCTTCCCGCACAGGTTCGAATCCTGTCGACTGTGCAAAGATTTTTTTTTTTTAAGGCAGATGGGACGGACGTACGGACAAGGCTAGACCCTAAGGAGCTTCGCCCCTAAAACCGGAAACTCTACGTGACTGGAAACCCTGGAACATCGTGTCGATAAACTCGGTCGGCTGGAATGCCAGCCCAGACTTTTCGTCGCTTCGAATACAACCTGCGCTTGTTTTCAAGCTCATTCTAAAGGAAAACTCCCGAAAAGGCTGCATTAAAATAAAAAAAAAAACGGAGACTTTATTAAATGCAACGAATTCCCCGACTTTTTCAGGTTTTTCTATGAATATGTTGCTTAAATTTCCTGACCATTAGAAATAAAAAGAAAATGTAGAGGCAGCCGTTTCTAGAGCTGTTTCTGTTTAATCTTGTGAATCCGATGGTGGCTTACGTTACTCACCGACGCGTCGGACAAGTGTCACCAAGCACCAAGGCCATCCTTGCCACTGCACGTCGCACTCTTCCGCTTCGTTGCGTGTCACTGCTCCGCCCACATTAATCGTTCTCCCAGACTACACCTATTTTACGACAATTTCTTCCACTTTTCCACACGCATTCCCCGACAATTCCAGGTTTTTTGGGTTGGCATGCATCCTGGACGTTGCGTTAAGGTAGACAAGGCCGTTCGCAGGATTCGATCGTTCTCGACGGTGGTGGCCTACCTGGATCGAGCAGCGCCTTCCTCAGTCGCTCCTTGATCTTCTTGCTCACCCCCATGGCCTTTTCGTTGGTCAGCCGACGGAACATGTCGTAGCCAATGATCATGACTCCGCCCTTCTTCTGCCAGTACTCCAGGGTCTTCACCCGCGAGTGGTTGTCCTTGATAGACGACACCTCGTGCACCTGCCACGAAAAAGAAAAGTTTTGGTGTCTAGCTAATGCCTTACCTACATAACCATAAGACCGCACTCGGATGTAGCCTAGATGTCAGCGACACAGTGACATCGTTCCAAAGCTGCTCTAAAAGCGTCGCACATATACGTTCCTCGTGACGACACACGACACCGACATCAGGTGATACCCGACGTCATGTCACGCGACACCGATGGTTTTAGTATTCACCTCGCAATGTGCCCGGAGAAGAAGACGACGAAGCTTGCTCTAAGCCGGCGCCTGGATATAGTGTTCATATTTCTGGCAATATTTGCTGGTTTGCACCTTACTCCGCGGAAGAAGAATACTCTCACTGCCTCCTGCAATATCGCCGACACCTCTACCGCAGGAAGTAACCACGACAAACCGTTTCCTCCTGATGATCCTCTGGACGGCACCGCTCCGGTAGGCCTGATGGAATCCCATGATGCAACCTCGGAACCAATTCGATTAGACATGACTTCTGTAGTGCACACCATGCAAAACTCGCAGCCAAACCTGTTGACGACTACTATAAATTTCTTACCACCTGAGGAATACGACACTGACACATGAATTAAAAACTTTTCTGAAAATGAAAAAAAACAAAAAAAAAACGACGATTAAAACGATGTTGAGGATATGGGAGAACAGTATGCTCTTACCAGTGAAAAGCCACACGATCACGACAACCAATACAAGACAGCTGAATCACGCAAACGACGCAGGGAGAGTAAGGACTCAGAGTCAAGCTCTCACAAACCAGCAGTCAACTGCCAGGCTCTTGGGCTCACCGTCATATTCACACCAGGCGACCAAAATACCAACATCAAAAGCTTCAAGCCTTCAAGCTTTCGGACAGATTGAAAGCAAACTGTCGTGATGGAATCTACAGCATTCGACCCAACTCAAGGCTGAATGTGATTGCTGTAGACGCTCGCAATTAAGATACAACGAGCACTTTACTGCCTATCAAGTCTCTTTGGGGGGTTCCGATGAGTGCATACGAGCCCCGCTCTAAGAACATGGCTATGGGTGTCATCCATGGGGTACCAGTGGATATCACCGACAGCCAACTTACTCAGGCACTACTCGCAAAGACATCAATCATCCGCATCCGAAGACTGGGAAAATCACAATCTGTTGCATTAACATTTGTATGCCCAACTCTACCCGATACGGTACGTGTAGGCTATGTGCGCTACAAAGTATATCTCTACGTGCGGAAACAAACCCAATGCCGTACTTGTGGTCGCCTCGGACATGCAGCTGCATCATGTGCATCTTCGTCTATTTGTACAAAATTCGGAAAAACACACGACTCGACATCCTGTTTAGATGGACCACCCAAATGCGTCAATTGCGGACGAGACCATCCCTCTACTTCTAGAAGCTGCCCAGATGGCAAGAAGAAAGGGAAGTAGCTCGTTACCGCGTTCTTCACGGAAGAGACTATGCAACAGCGAAGGCGGCAATGAAAGCCGATGCCTCTGAACACAATACCGATAACACATCTGGTCCCGGACACAGTCAAAAGCCAACAGCGTGCATGCCAGTGACTAACAAGCCACATAAACAACAAATTCAAGAGCCCCACCCAGCATCACAGCCTTCCGAAAGAAAGGAGAACAAAAAGCCACACGATAAACCACGAAGAAGCACAGAACTTAATACAGAAGACCTCGAGTCCTTTCCGCATCTCCCAAACACAGTACCTATGACACAAGAAGACCTCGCTCACTACCAACCTTCTACATGTAAGGTTATAAGTAACATTGCCACCAATTTTGTCAAGAGTGCCTGAACTCCACAATCAAATGCTGCAGCTGAACCACCGCCACCTGCGCTGGGCATCGGAGACATCTTTTGAACTGCGATCAAGGCCTTACGCGGACTGCTTCAACTCGTGTCTTCACCTAGAGTGCCTTCATGTTCGCGAAGCGGCACATGAAGGCACCCTATCTTCACCCATTGCCATCTACATTGTACAACTCATTGACACATTTATTCCGCTCCTGCAACAATGGTTGAGTGAACTCAACTGTTACTATTTAAATACCATTTATTATAATTATGACAGCACTCACAATAGATGACAGATACAACAATGCGATTATATTCCAGTGGAACGCGAGTGGCCTTTCTCCGTTCTCCGTTCATCCGTTCTCAGGCAATTTTCACACAAACATCAATTTCCTCATGTCTCAAAATAACAGCGCAAGTAGGGGTTACACAGAAGGACACGTCACCATAGGCCACAAAAACAATCACACTTAGTGACACAATCACAGCAGGTAAAACACTCACACAGCGCTGACTCACAACTCAATCTATATTTACACTTCTTTTTCTTCTACGCCTTTTCGATACATTCGCGAATATTGGCTTCTTTGCCTTCCACGTCCCATTAAATGACAATGATATGAGCTAATAAGATAAGCTAATAAGATAAGATAAGCTAATTATTTTCCTGTTAAAGTGAGCGATGGAGTGCTAACACATTTATCGACATAGCTGGAAATATGTTCTGCTTCCACTATCTCTCTAGCCAGTTGGCTACCGCTTTTGCCCAGCATTGTACTCCTATCTAGATGTGCCGCACATCTGCAATCACGGCAATGTAGACCTAAATGTCCTGAGTTGGTTCTAGTTATGTTGTTGTGTTCACGGAATCGACCGTTTAAACATCTCCCAGTCTGGCCGATATATCGTTTCCCACAGGAGAGGGTAAAGGAATATACAACCCTTTCTGTGCACGGAACAAAACTGGTCTGGTGTTTTTTTTTTTTTTTCGTTTTGTTTTTGTGCAGCTTGTTGAGTTTCTTGTAATGGCCATATGTGAGTCAAGGCTTCTAAACAATTTTCGTTTTTCTTGGTATGAATATCTTTGTTCAACCCGAACTACAGGACCAAGTTGAGTCCTCCTTCTCCTGCGCACAGACCTAAGCTACGTGCATCACGCTATTCCACCACATCAAGATAATGGGTACATTGTGGCTACAATCACTGATGGCAAGTGCAACTTCACCGTCATTTCTGGATACATCCCACCGAAAGCTAAATTTGACGAAGATTACCTCACTGACATTCTCAGCAACTACCCGTGGCCATTTGTCTTAACAGATGATTTTAATGCCCATAATTCTATATGGGGCAGTATACACCCCAACCCTCAAGGTAGGAAGTTGGCCGATATGGCTGCATGTCACCATCTTTGCCTAGTGAATGACGGTAGCCCTACGTACATACAGAACCTTAAGCGTAGCAGCTGCAGATCTCTCATTCGTTTAGACATCGCTAGCATCTCAAGCAACATGGTTTGCAGACATCGCATCTATAGAGGTAGTGATCACGTTCCCACCTATACGGAGCTTCGGAATTTTAAAAATATTAAAACTCATCATGAGGCTAATATATAATTTGGGCAAACTTTAAAAACAAATTACCGAGGAATGCAACCAAGAGATGGACTTACCATCATTTACAGAAGCCATCACTCGTTCGTTGAACCAATCAAGAGAGCAAACAACCCTACCGATTAACCGGACTACATTCGATACCGAATATGAGTGACTTCGGGCTATTCGCCGGCGTGCTGAGAGGCGTGTTAGAAAGCATAAAAGGCCTGAGGATTTACGTGAGTTCCGACGAGTAACTAAAAAAATCAAACGTCATTTGAACAAACTTGCAAAACGTCGTTGGCGGAAAATGTGCTCAGAACTTGATCAGAGGAAGCGTACTACAAGAATATGGCAAATATCAAAAGGTCTCCGAGCAACACTGCAACAACGCTATTTGTTTCGGGCACTAGCTCTATTGATGCAGTGTTCAGATATAGAGGCCGCGAGCCCGTTCTGCATACGAATTACGCAGAAGCAGTCTACACACACGAGCACACCACAAGCGCCACAGCCAACACCACCGTCAACTCTGTGATGCATGGACGTTGATTTCTCTCTGAACGAACTCGAATCTGCTCTTGCATCATGTAGACAATCAAGCTCACCTGGACCAGATGGTGTTAATTACTCGGCAAGTGCACGACTCGGACCAAGTACAATCAAATGCTTTCTTCGTCCCTTCAACCAATCCTGGAACCAAGGCGAGGTACCATGAAAAGTCTCTGAAGTTACACCGCTACTAAAGCCAGGTAAATTACCCCTTACCATCACTTCCTATCGACCCATTGCGCTTTCAAGTTGCATAGGCCAACTCATGGAACGTATGATCTTGGCGCGAATGGAATGGTATTTTGAACATCATGGTTTATATTCAAGTGAGTCATCAGGCTTTCGCCGCGGCCGGTCCTCGGGAGACGGGGTGATTGATTTAATTACATCGGTTGAATACGAATTATCTCAACGACGAATGATCACAGCCGTATTCTTGGACATCAAGAGTGCATGTGATTCTCTGACGAATGATGCTATACTTGACCCACTAGAAGAACTGGACATAAAAGGGCGACTCTACCCGCTCCTTCACACTGGAAGCGGATCCGCGTTCGCAAAGCGGTTGCGAACGCGGTTGTATAAAGATCCAGTACAATTGCATGTGCACTTCATGACATCCAGTGCGCGTGCAATTGTACTGGATCTTTATACAACCCCGTTCGCAATCGCTTTGCAAACGCGGATCCGCTTCCAGTGTGAATGAGCGGTACAAGTGGATCTTAACTTAACTAACATGGCAATTTTTGTTACTACGGCAGAAGGAAGAACTATCCTTTATCCTGCCGCAGGTCCGCGAGCCAACGCTCTCTCTGGTCATGGTGAACCTCGAAGAAAACGGGAAAGGGACTCATCCACTGTTGTCTGGCGACATCCAATTAGCTGCTCCTCCAGTCGCCGCCACCCACTTGCCGCAGTGTCCCCACTCGGCCCGGCGATCGTGCCTGTCGTCCGGAAGCCTCGGTTCCTTCTCCGTTCACCGAAAAAAAAAAAAAAAAAAAAAACACACACACACACACAAAAAAAAAAAAAGAAAAACGCATGATTTAACGGCACCACAACGAAGGTCAGCACTGCAGCGACGATCTCATCTCTCCTCATCAGGCCTGCCCAAAATATTCTGTCGCCGCTCGCTGGGGATGCTTTGCCGGTCCGCAGGTAAAGCCACAGGCCGTCCTGTTCTCTGACGTAGATGACGCCCAGGACCACCTGTCAGCTGCCACCGCTCCTCTTGGGTAACTACCCCCCCCCCCCCCCCCCCCGGGCTTCTCGCGTAGATATTGCCACGGTCTTCACTCCGGAAGGAGCGAGCCTTGTCCGCAGTCCAGCAGACGCAACGAATCCTTTGGATAACTGTACCCCCCGGGCTTCTCACGTAGATATTGCCACGGTTCGCGCTCCGGCCAGAGCGACCCTTGTCCGCAGTCCAGCAGACGGGACCCTTGTCCGCAATCCAGCAGACGAAACACTTGTCGCATAGAGCCCAGGTACGCTCCGCCTGCCTCCGTTGATGCCGTCGTTTTCGCTCACCGCCCGTTGCAGGAAGTCAGCAGGATCCTGTCAACTGCGTCAGTCAACTTTCCGTGGAGAGAGGGGGCCGGTCAGAATGGTGACAATTGATGATGATGTTCGCCCGATGCAAGTCCCCCGGGAAGTTGAATAAGAAAAAAAAAAAACAACTAAAAGTTGTTCGATCCCACTGGACACATTACGAAGTTGGTTGGTTTGCGATGGCCAATGTGGCCAAGTTTATTTCAAAACGAAACGACAACAAGTCAACAGTAATTTACATTACAAAACTCCCAAAATTAAAACCCATCCTTGAGTACCCCAGTCTCAAGAGCCGAATCTGCCTGATCTCAAAAGCCGAATCCCCGAGAATCCTCTTGGTAGCCCCTTTCTAGACTCGTCGGGGCCTCCTTTCCTTCCAGAGACAGACCAATCACTTCAAATTTGCCCATTGTCACGTGGTACACTCTTACCCAATGATCAGCGAGCTGTCAACGTGACCCCCCTCCGACACCTCAACGGTCAAACCCAAATTCTTTGTATAGTCACTACATGCTTTCTTTGCCGTCTGGCTGGCGCCACAAAGTTATTGCGCCGATTAAAAGGGAAGTTTCTACACTAAGGGGCGAAATGCGCCGGACAGAAGCACACCCGTTTAAAAGCCACAAGTGCGGACAGAAGCCCAAGACAGGGCTATTCCGGCGCCCCCAAACTGAAACCCAATCCGTTCGTTAACGACCGGGGTCCGACTCTTCCCCACCGAGCCCCGCGGCTGCTCGAAGTCCCCCGCGCGTGGGGGCGGAAGACGCCCAAAAATGCAGAAACAAACATAGGCAGATAAAAAAAAAAATGCCGACGCAACTATAGAAAGATAGACTTTTTAAAACAAATCTAACTTATTTCTAGCAAAATCCTTCGTTACTTAACAAGAGCAAAGGGAGCATGCGTAAAATCTTTTGATTCGCCACTCGTGTCTCCGAGCCTCTATCGACCCTAGCCACCACCGAAAATTAAACGCAGCTTACGGTGAGGTCGAGTCCCTTGTCTTTGAGCCAGCGCTCAAACTCCTGCGACCAGTTGAGGACAGTGTTGTAAGGGCACACGACGAGGGCAGTCCGTAGGATCTTGCCGCAATCCTTGTGGTTCAATACCGTGTGCAGGAACGAGATCACCTGCGGCAACGCCGGCACCCAAGCTCCACATAAACATGAGTTTCACAATGGCAGCGGGCTTTCAAGAACTGATCTAGCCTACTGCGCACGACCACGCATTATGAAAAGAGTGCCCCGCGAGAAATAATAAATAAGGTCGCCAACAACAGCTGTGTTGGCGACAAGAGCCAAGTGAGTCCACTTGGCTCTTGCCGGGTGGCCTTGTCTTCCGAGGTAGGCAGCGGACGCTCCTGCACATTCCTCACCGTAGAATTTGGTTTGTATGTACGGTGCAACCCACTCGTAACGATCCCAGACGTGACAATGTTCCGCTTATAACAATCAGTTTCTAGAGTTTTTAGGCTAGTAACACTCATTTTCTAATCCAGATACAATGATAATAGGTTAGAACGATTGAATTTTCTGGTTTTCTCATTACTGTTATAAATGGATTGCTCTGTACTATCAGATGCAAAACAATCCGCCATTCTTAACGGTACTCGTCTCGATTAAATCTCGGAAAAGGACGTTGACTCGTATGCGCACAGTGTTCCCTTCCTACATACGCGAGCGACCATGAGGCTCCGTTGTCAGTGATCGAGCATATAAAGAGTGGATATGCATAAAAGTATATGTAACCATGCACAATAACAGCTATCGCTGTCACTTCTTCGCATGCTGTGGCAAAGACCTGTAAATTTTTCTTAAGGAAATCTTGCAATCTTTAAATATTTTTTTTTTTTTATACTACACCGAGTCAGAACAAGTAAATAACTTTGTAGCAGTCAGAGGTGCAGCATGGTAACATACCTAGGTCACGACTGTCTGAAAAGAAACATTTGCTATCGAAGGATAGCAGACGCTACAGATTTAGTTTAAGGATCGAAGCCGAATACAACTAGGAATTTACTGTTCTCGTTCAGATGGCAGCCTGCACGCGCGGACGTACCTGGAAGGTCTTTCCCAGCCCCATGCAGTGGGCAAGGATGCAGCCAGAACCATTGTTGGGGTCCTTCTTCAGCATCTCGAGGGATTCGATGGTGCACTCGTACAGGAACTTGACACCTGCCACAGACGGCCACAATGCGAAACAATAATACCAGCCTCAGTGCACCAGGGTTAGTTACGACTTCAACATTGAAAACAAGCAAACAATCAGGACAGAGCATCCAGTCAGTCGGCTGTTACTGCGATGCGGTCCGGATCTGCCGTGTTTGTGTCCTACTTACTTTTATAGATGATGGTGTCTTGCATTCTTTCATTGCTGGAAGCTCTCCTAGCACACTTTATTTCAAAACTCCCTCTACTCCCCCTTTGCACACTGCCCTTTTTCTTCACTGCGCGCCATGCAATGAAGAAAAAACACTGCTCGACCTGTTGGACGAGAGCAGACACTTTAAGAGACTCTATGATATGCTGATCGCAAACAGCAAGGGAGGCAAGAATCAAAACAGCACGATAATCGACCCCTTATTCGAGGTCTCCTTGAGGTGTCTCAACATGAAATGCTGGTGCCGCTTCTCGATACATGCTTATACGTGAAGCACCACTTGAACGAACTCCAACTGAACAAACTATTCAGATAAACAAACTTTTGAAAAAATCCCCCCAGTGTCCAGTGCATTCAGTCGAGTGAACTTTCACTTAAAGGGGGCACTACCCAAAAGGGTCATCGTATTAAGATTTAGATTAATATGAATGAAATTTACAGTATATACTGGCAGTTGCGAGACAGAATGCAGTGCAAAGTTTCATCTGCTTACATGAATTGTAAAAAAAAAATATGTATAGTCGTTTTTATCAGAAACACACTTAACTTTGTTTAAGAAGACTATAGTTAGAAAACTAATGTAATACCCAACGTTTTCGTACACTAGATACGCAACAAAATGTCTGGAAAGTGCAACTGTGCAAACAAAAGCTCCAAAAAGTAACTTATTTTGTGCTAACATCGCAGTGAAAAATCAATTTTTTTTTTACTTCCATGTTGTCGACAACATTTTAACGTATTTCATAAAAGACATCCACAAAGTAAAAAAAACAAAACAATGCCACAGTTGCATTTCCCATAAAATTCCAGTTAGGAAAAAAAATATGTGAGTGTTTCCTTTCGTCCTTCTACCAAACGATAGTCTTCATTAAGTGAAATTTATGCCAAAAATTGGAACGGAGAAAAACGCGTTCAAAGTGCTTCAACCTCTACCTTTTCTTTAGCATCGGTGGACCAAAAATCATTCATAAAAAATAAATATGCGGTGTAAACTAATGAAACTTTCTGGGAATACTCTCTAGATGTTGGTGGATGTAAATATGGCATTTTACAAAAGCTACCTTTTTTGCAGTAATTTGTTTTCTGGGTAGTGTACCCCCTAATGAAAGCTTTAAAGTTGCGTGAAAAATGGTGCCCGCACATAAAAGCAAAAAACGTTGAGGCTCCAATCCACGCTGTGAAGGTGGCTGGTCAGCGAAGCTGTGGTATCGCCTGCAACGATTGCCTACTGCACTGTACGAAATGCCGTCGCCGGTCGCAGCATGCCACCGATGGTTGTATTGCTGTTTCTTTTCCCTCTCCTAGTATTCCCACTGCTCTTTGTGAGTCCTAACTATGCGTGGCCTATTCATCGCGGTGCTGCAGCCACAATGAAATCAGTTGCTATGCTCCGTTTCATCTCGGAGGCTGTGTGAGTGCCACGTGACCTCACCTCACGCGAGGGCTTCGAATGACGTCAACCCCTTTCGAAGCAGCTGCAAACCTAATCTTCCCATTGTTTACAGGTGCCTTATCATCCATCATATGGTTTCGATGGTTTGTTTTGTTGATGCTTGTTTTGTGGTTTTCTTTATTGAAACGGATACTGAGCTGTATGCTGTATGCCTGATTTTAAAGGAGATACGCTGTTTTGCCTTCAATTGTTCGCCGCGAGTATTTTGCTTACAATGCAAACGACACGAAAATTTCCTTGGCTGGTAGAAGTATACAGGTTTGCTCTAAAGTAAAACAGGAACCTCAAAGTGGTGTTCCTCTGAAACCTCTTAGACGGTGCCGCATGTCTAAAACATGGTGCTGAACGGCTCAAGCATGTTCCCTTCGTACATATTAATGATGGAATGAATCTGCCGAACTTCGGATTCGGCAAGTGGCACAATCCAAACCTTGAAGTTCAGCGAAGATTCGAGTTCGGCGAATCTTTGCCGAACTTTCCTTCAACATTGTGAGTGTGGTTCTCTTCAACATTTTCTGCCTCAACGGCAGAAGATCGACTAGAAAATTAAGCAGTCAACTGCGCAAGTGACAAATGCTGCGGTACATTCTGGATAACAGGATTTTCTTTTGATCTTTCCAATGATGCCACGAGGTAGTTGCACCATTGACTGACAAGTACTTTGAAGCACTCCTCGCAATTATTGAAATCTTGTTTTCAGCCCACAAGTAGTTCGTGCCAAAACAAAATAATATTACTTTTTAATTAGCTTTATTTTGTGGTTTTCACCTATCCGCGTAAAACTAAACCAAGAACTATCTTGATCGACGTTGCACATCCAACATTCCTAACTCTTCCCATCTTCCTAAACGTCCGCGCGTGTTCTAGCATCAGAAACCAGCATTTTAAAAGTTATAAATGAGCCATTGCGAATATGGGACGCACATTTTCATGCAAAGCTGGCGTGAAGTGACTGAAATCGAACAACATGCATATTTGCGATAATACTGTTATCACTTCCGGTGAAGGCTCAGCAGCCGTTGCATTCGCTTTTGCGCACGAACCGGTGACTCGCAGAGAAAGGAGGAACACAGTGTTACCGCCTCAACAATGAACACACTTGCAGGCTTGCGCTGAAGAGGCCTCAAAACAGAAACTACTACCCAACCTCGCTGTCACATTACTTCTGCAAAGAGTCACTGTAAAATTGCCAGTAAACACACAAAAATGACACCGATCCAATAATTTTGTAGAATATAACATTATTTAGTAACAACTGTGTCAATGTGCATTAAAAAAACAACAAAAAAAACTAAACACTTGTTGCCCGAAAAAACGAAATATCAACTTTGGCAACAATGTATTTTTGCCGAATCTTTCAAAAAGTTCAGCAAAACTTCCGCTTCGCCGAATCCCAAGATACGGCACCGAATTTTCGATTCCGCAAAAGTTTGGCCCGTCACTAAAACATATGTAGGTTCCTAACACGTTAGCACGATGTTTTTGTATGACCGATGTGACAGACCGGCGTACAAGGAACACCTCAAACAATGGCTGGGCACCATCTCTTGTGCCATGTATGTGTAGTGTGACTGCAGCTCCAAAGAAAATTGCCGGCACCCCCCCCCCCCCCCCCCTCCCTGCTCCAGTCATCACAACGCTTACCGTCGACCTGGTGCGGCTTCATGCATTTGACCAACTTCCGATTCACCGTCACCAGCGGCTCGTTGGCCTTGAGGTCCATCTCTAGCACCAGTTCCTCCAGGGTCGTGTTGCCACACTCTGAAGCGCCCCCTCGGATCTTGTTGTACTGCGATGAACCACTCCGTTGTCGGATTCTTCTTCAAGAAAACTGAACAGGCATTCTACGTACGAGACTGAATCATTGAAACGCCTCCTATACCTCTCGCGTCCAGCTTGTTTGAGATATAAAAAGTTCCTTACTAAACTGGACGACTCCCTTAATGTTCAGCGCTCGCGGGAGATTCCCAGCAATCACATCTTTTTCTTGCTAGTAAAACATGGGGCCAGTCTTACAAAAGGGGTCATTTTAAAATGAAAAAGCAGGCACAATTCAGAAATCCATCTTCAGGAATCACGCTAGGGCTGAAAACAAACTATCAAAATGATTCCTGCGTATCTATCTCCAAAGTCTAGGTTGGACCTACTTCAACTCTTAAGGTGCCTCTTTAAATCGTACGAGTTACCTTCCGTTCTTAATTAACGGCGCGCACTGCAGGCCAAAACTGCTTCGTTCAGACTAATGTCCCTTCATTAGACCAGATTACACCGGTGTGTGTAATTCGCGATACCGCTACTTACGCTCGCAGGCGACAACGCCGCAGCTCCGTTTAGCGTTTTCGTCACGTCGATCCCTCGAATTTACTAGCACGTCGCGGCCCGAAATATTTTAACGTCAAAATGAGCGAGAAAACCATCAAGCTCGCTGTAGTCACTGACGCGGTGAGAATGGCAGGGATGAGCTTCGGTAGGCCAGCCTTCCTACCTTTCAGAATGCTCCTACGTCTCGTACACCAAAGCAAGGTGGAAGGTATTGAGCATGGTGGAAGGCACGGAGCGTGTGCTGCAGGCCGGGTGTTCAAAAGACACGTCCTGCCGTTCTCATTCGACTATAACGTGACTGCATGCCAGAATCCCCGAACAAGGCAAGTTACCTGCAGCTTCTGGCGCTCTTGAACCCTTTTCTTGCGTTCCTCCTCCGCCTTGGCTGCCGCCCTCGTCTCGTCGCCGACTGGCCGGAGCTTTCGGAGGTTCTTGCGGCTCTTGTTGCCCGTCTCCTGGCTCTGGATTGCAAACATTGGCGTACGGAGAGGCTCGACACTGGTCGCACAAACCGACCGTCGAAAAATTGCAGCGACTCTACCAGCTGTGTTTGTTAATTCCATCGTCGCTCTGCTGTGCCTCTAAACATGCGGCGGCACCGCAAGTGACCGCGTCGTGTTTTAATGGGACCTTTTTTTTAGTCCTGTGCGAATATTCGAATTTTAGAATAGTAGTTTCGAATATTACTCTATTCGATATTCGCTTCGAGAGCAGTTGTAATATTCGTGCTTTTCGAAGTGTTGACCAACTCGCAGTCGCGAGCTTGTTTACTTTCTAAAAATCGCTAAGGAACAATTTCTAAAATCAAAACATACTGCCACGTTCGGCTAAACGGTATAACTATTATGGTGGGAACTTTGTTTATTAACTGGCAAAAGAAACCGAGCACCGAGCTCCAGAGACGCCGGCGCCATCTTTGCTAATCTCATAACCTGCATAATTGCTCAGAAACTTTTATTTGCGTGAAAACTCATAAACACCGTTTCAAAACATTGAAACTGTAATACTCCAAAAGAATATATATTATTACAGCGACAAGATGAGTGAATGACATCGACATTGTCAAAATGGCGGAGTGGACTCAAACGACAGCATAAAAAATCCAGTTTTGAAGTATTTCTCTAAACTTCCCTCCAAAAACGAAGCCCGGTGTGAACAATGCAAAAAGTCACTGACGACGCCAACAGGAACAACAACCCTTTCAAACTACCTGAAGATGGAGCTTGTATGCGGCCTACGAAGAAGAACGCGCTGCACGTGAAAACATTATCTTGCATGTCATTTTGCGCCCAAGATTATTGAACGGCAAGTATTTGATATTTGATTCGAAAATATTCTGACAAAATCAATATTCGCTTCGAATTCGATTCGAACTCAAAATCCACTATTCGCAGAACGCTGCTTTTTGTTTTAAACAGTATACATCGTTTTAAGTAGGTCGATGCAGAAAGGAAAAAACACTCTCGAACCAGAGCGCTGCGCCAACGCTCCGCCTACCCTTTCCCTCGAAAGCTCGTCTGCTTCACGGAGTGCACTGTTACCAGAGGGTGGAGAAAGCACGTGCGTAATGTACGGAGGCAAGTTATTTCGACAATGTTAGGTACCGCTCAGGTCCCGACAAACGGGTGCTTACAAACTAGAACATCCGAGAGCCGCTAAATATGGTAGAGCGTAGTTGGCTAGTTGATGGAGACCGCAAACACCGCCAGCATGAGCGACAAAACACGAAAATAATAAAAAAATGAAAGAAAAGCAAGACACATAAAAAAGTCATAAAGTGAAGCAAGCAGCAAGGAAGTTCACTAAATTCAAGCAACAAAAAATAGGGAAAAAAGAAAAGAAAATGGACAAAAGCAATAGGGGCAATAGAAAAATGAAAATGTAAGCAAAGATAAGGCGGTCGAAGTGCGATTGCACAACCGTTGTTGTCGAGTCAACACACTCGACTTGCCGAAAACTTTTTTTTTTTTGCTAATTTTATTTTGGGGTTTGGGAGTCACGCAGCATCAGCAGTGTTCGGAGAAAGGGCGCAGGCTACCATTCCGGCAGCGGGCACTCCCTGCTCTCCCTACGCGCCGCGCGCGCGCGTGACATTCCCCTTGTTTTCGCCAGAGCCTTTTAAAAAAGCTCTGGTTTTCGCCATCCTTCACTTTTTTTTACGGTTCATTGTTTTTCTTTTTACACAACTGCTCTCTTGCTGCGTATTTTACCGCGTGTATTATGGCTTGGCGGTCTGGCAGCCCCGCAACGCAAGCGAATGCGGCCGGACTTTGTTCGCAATATCGAGTGTCCCCGCCATGGGAGTTCGATAGAAAAAGACAAGGCTCCTATGGTATTACACGTGATTTTCAAGGAGATGTTTGCACTGTTTGATATAAACAATAATTCGAAATAGCCGAGTGTGATATAACCGGGCTCGACTATATGCTGAATGGTGAGACACGGGCATAGTGAGAGGTGACTCTGATGAGAAACTCTATTACTGCTACGAAAATGATTCCTGGAGAAGGGGAACAAGAGGGACGAAGGACAAACAGAAATCTCCAAACACAGCTCGCTTGCACCTTTGCATTTAATCGCATTATAATCTATTACCGTTGTCTAATTTAAAACATAAAAATCCTTTTAACATAAAGAGGTATGGGGACAAGAAGGGAGTGGAACGGAGGAGAAAGCGATAGGGAGAGGAAGTGTAAGAAGTGTCACGTGACGCGAGATGCTAGGTATTGTGAAGTCAAGTCATGCGATGTCAGTTGCTTCGCTGAATTTAGAAAGAAAACTAAACTGGCGTAGAGGTCACATGATGTCAGCTTACGTGACGTCGATTCACCTGCAACGTTTAACGGAAAACGCACGGACGGACAAATTTCACGGATTATGGGGTTCGGTTAAAAGGCATGTCATGCTTTGACAGAATTCCTGCACACGAGTCGTATCAAAGTGGAACAAGGCGAACAATAGCTCTGGACAGGCCCTTTAGGACAAGTAAGTCCGGTCCTCCTTCCCACCTCTCGTTTTATCGTAAGGAACAAAGGGAGCTCACCGAATTGCTGTCGTCGCTGTTCTCCTTGTCGTCGTCCGTGGAGGCGGCCATCTTGATGCGACGGCGCTTCTTCTTGATCGCCTTGCCGGGCGACGCAGACCCGTCCCTGGGGCCGCGCTTGCCCTTCTTGGACGAGTTGAAGTCTGAGTCGTCAGACTGTCCGCTCGATCCTATCGAAGAAGACGCCTGCTTCTTTTTTTTCTTGCGAGCCGGCTCGATGTCCAAGTTATCCGATTCGCTCGAGCTGCTCGAGCCGAGGCTGCTGCTGAGCTCGGGTTTCTTGGAGTCGGCGTACTCGTGTTCGTCTTGGCTCGACACCACTACCCGCTTGCTTTTGGATTTCCTGCACAATAGATGCAGCGAACGAGTCTTCCACGCTACCCTATTTCCCGGACCACACAGGTTTAAAAGCTGAAATCTTACGCGGTACACAGATTGTTTCAGAAGAGAGCTGTAGGCCGGTTGCCATTTTTAACATTTGTCGCTGCCTCGCGCAACTTCCAAAGCCACAAACGCACGTGCCGAGCTGTGTATTTGTAGGGATGTGTACTTTCCATGTCGTTCATTATGGCAAGAGAAGTCCGTCCACTGTACTGCATTTCTCGAACTGTAGTTAGCGGACTATATGTGTTTAAAAGTTGAACCTTTATGCGGTGGGGACTACAAACAATTCCCGAAAAAAAGGGTTGCCCAGCTAGTTTTGAGAATGTATTAAATTTTGGAGCAGAAAAAAATTTCACCCTGGAGCACCTTTGTAACAAAAAAAAAATCTCATTTGGGAGCAGCACATACATAAGCTTGGAGCAACTCAATGAGGTTCCTTATTAGTGATACCGGTATGCACTCATATGATCACTACAGCGCCCATTAAAAACTCAAAGTTAGCAGTTTCACAGCTCTTCGAGGCTGTGAAGCTGTGCTATAAGCTTAGTTAAATGTGTGCTTTGTTTTCATTAGTACTATTGAACAAAAGTCAGCAGGAGTCATGTGAGCATGTTCGCTATCAAAATTAATAGACCGATCTCACTAAGCGTTGGGCGCATGCGTAAAGCCACCATAACTTTAGTTCACAGGAGGCAGACGGCCGTGCACACGAGGGCTCGGGCCTTCTCGTGCTCTACACGCGAAGAGCTCCAGCGAGGTTATCGCACGTGCAAAAAGACGTTCCCTCGATGCATTGCGGCAGCGGTGGCGTAGTCAAACTGGCTGGTGAGATCGGTCTATTAGTCGGTGTAGAGTACCAGTTTAAACCTCTAGAGAATAACAGAGGTAAATTGGCACTACACAGTTTCCGCACATGACACAAAAATCCACAATTCTTGGGCCTCATAACTTCTTAAGACAAAATGCGTTGTGACAAAAATTTTAGTTATGATGACACTTCCTGACAACCCATCGCTCTGTAAACATTCGATGTCTGATTTGCTTCGTTTTTCCTCGGTCGTGATCACAATCTAGCTGCTTGAAAATCTGATTTAGTGCACAGGAGATCAACAAAAATATCCTAGTTCCCCAATGCACAGATGTTTTAACGGTAGGACAATTATGAATTGGTAACAAAGCAGTCTCAATTCAGCATACTAACGAACTGGGAATTAGCTGCGAGCACATTCTACAAAATAGGTAGTGTCATTTCTCAACACGCGCCCGCAGGAAAAAATGAACTTGGCTCGTTATTCTTCAATAGTGCGTCTTGAAATGCCACTACATGCTGACTGAACTGCACTACGTTAGGGCCTTCGGTAAAATTTGCCCCTAACAACGCTGCAGACTCGGAAACCTGGATTTTTTTTTTTTAAGTAAGTAAGTTTATTTCCCATGAATACTGGTGGCGGAGGTCGAGAAAAAAAGCTGTAAAGTACAGCTTGACAAGGTCCTCGACCTTCTAATAGGCGAAATAGCAGAGGCACAGGAGAAAAAAAAAGAACACATACAAAAAAGATATTCCATACCAAAACATGGTTCAAGGTGAAACAAGAGGACACTATACGAGCGCAAAATACGTACTAAGCAAACAAGGAATAAAAAAATATATATATTAAAAAATATTACATGAAAGATGAAGTGATTGCTAATTTACCTATCTAAGCTTATAAAATATTCTCTAAGTTGTTTTAGTGATATTCTATTCAATTCCAGTTCACTCTCTTCTAACTAGTTAAGCAATTTAGGCAACTTACATCGAAAGTGTGCATGACGAGTGGGGTAAACCGGTTTTTTCAGATAAAGATTAGCCAAATTTGTAATGAAACGTGTATTTCTATTGTTTTCCGTTTTAAACACATTACTAAGTCTATAATTGTATAAATTGTATATATTAATAACGCGGAAAGCCCTAAACAGACCAGCTGTATGGGAGTCAAACGAGACGCCGCCGATGGACCTCAGTATTTTTTTTTTTTTTGTAATAAGAATATTTTTTCAAGGTTCGATAATGTAGTTGAGCCCCAAACAAGATGGCCATAATTTAAATACGAATAAAACAGAGAATTGTAAATTCGTAATTTCACATTCGTTGGCAAAATTGATCGATGGCGATATATATTAATCCAGTTATTCGTGACAGTTTGGGAATTATATCATTTATGTGATTATCCCAGGACATATTCTCAGAAAAGATCACTCCCGAAACCTTAAAATTGCCCTTCAATCTCGATTGGGGTTGTGTTAAGAGTAATATCTCTCATTATTCCAATCGATTTATTTCTCGTGCGTAAAAGTACAGCTTTAGTTTTGTTTATGTTAATTTTTAATGAATTTTTCCGGCTCCAAATGTTTAATCTCGACAGCATCAGATTTGCAATGCCCACTAGGACGTCGCGATCCTCGGCCGAAATAAGTAGCGTTGTGTCGTCGCTGTAAAAATTTGACATTTGGGTTAATGTTGACGACGTCATTAACATAGAGGTTAAAAAGGAGGGGCCCTAATATATTGCCCTGAGGAACACCGCAAAGTATAGTTTCATAGAGGAAGAATTCCCCTTCAGACAAACATATTGCGCTCGGTGCTCTAAATAAGACCTAAAAAATCTGTAACGCGTGTCCCCGAATGCCATAAATGTAAAGTTTTTTTAGTAAAATTTCGTGGTCAAGGCAATTAAAGGCTTTACTAAAATCTACAAACACTGCCAAAGCTATTTTTCTTTGTTCAAAACATTGCAGAATAAATTCTTTCTGCACAGGTAATGCAGCCTCTGTAGAATGATCTCTCCTAAAACCGAACTGCGAATCCGTAATCAGTCTGTATATATTCGTGAAATTTGTCAAACAGAGATGAAGCACTTTTTCAAGTGCTTTTGAAAATACCGGTAGTATGGATATGGGTCTGTAGTTTCCCATTTCGTTTCTATCTCCTCTTTTATAGAAGACCGAAACTTTAGCTATTTGCATGCGTTTTGGAAATACAGAAGTTACCAGAGGCCAGGTTAAAAATACGACTTAGAAATGGAGCTTGGTACACTTCGCTGTATACTGCGTTTATGGTTACCGCCCACTCGCCGCCGCCGCTGTTGCTGTTGCTATTGCTATTGTAGCGTTGTGCTGTCCTCTGTCTAGCTTACAATGGCTGATTCCGATTGCCTGGTATGTCTTAAGTCACTCCCTGAAAATGGAGTGTTTTTAACATGCTCGGAATGTGACTACAGTTACCACAGCGGCTCGTGTTCTGGTGTTTCTAAGACAACCTACAAGGCCAAAGGGGATGTCGATAAAAGTAAATGGAAATGCCAAACATGCGAAACTTCGAAAGCTCGCGGGGCCGAGGGTGCTGTAAAGCAGAAACCCGAACAAGCTGCCCTTGAGAAGGTTCTCATGGAAATCAATAAGAAACTAACGGAATTACCAGTAATCAGATGCAAAGTTGATGAATTGATGTTGGTAAAAGAGACCGTCAACAAGCTGGAACAGTCCGTTCAACATATGTCTGAACAGTACGACGAAGTTCTCAAAGAAATGAAACGCCAATCCACTGAGATTGCAACCCTGAAAAAAAAAGTGGAGAAGATCGAGGCTAATAATGCTGGCCAGGAAATTCAGAAACTAAGAATACAAGTCAACAGCCTGGAGCAGTACAGTAGGCGACAGAATCTCGAAATACATGGATTGCCACAAACTGACAACGAAAACCTACTGAATAAGATAAACGAGCTAGCAACTGAACTGCAACTACCAGAACTGTCACAAAACGAACTAGAAGGCGTTCACAGGCTGTTTTCAAAGCCAGGCAAAACTCCGGCCGTACTCATTCGCTTCCTGTCGCGCATTACACGTGACCAGTGGATGGCAAAAAGGGGTCTTCTAAAGAATATCGAATCCAACGTGTATTTCCTCGATAACCTGACACCGCAGAATAAGAAGTTGTTTTGGCTGACGAGGGTTAAGGCTGAGGAAAAACGGTACCAGTTTGTCTGGCAGAAGAATGGTCTCTTGTTTGTGCGTAAGGCAGCGGGCGAACGCGCAATCGTAATTGAGTGTGAGGCTGATTTAGATAAGATCTGCTGAATCAGTGAAAGTTAGAAGCTTCATTTATTTGTATTTTTGTGATGGCAGAACCACCAGTAACTGTTTATATTGACAGCACGTCATTTAACTCTGTTGTGCACGATCCTTTTCTGCTTCGAAGTGATAAGATGTCAATCTTTCATATCAACATAAGCTTACAAAACAAATGGTTTGAAATAGAAACAGCCTTGGATTCTTTAGATCACAGATTCGATTTATTGGCATTTACTGAAACGTGGTTTTCGAGTGAACACGACGTAGTCAATTTCGCAGGATATAAATCTGAAGGGGTTTACAGAAGAAATCGCAAGGGAGGAGGGACCTCGCTTTATTTTAAAAATAACCTTGAGTATGCAGTCTTGCCCGAATTTACGCAGATGAGTGACCACTATGAGTCGGTTGTTGTAAAGTGCCTTGGGTCACTGATTGCTTCAGTTTATCGGCCCCCATCGGGCGATATAAATGAATTTTTTGAGTTTGTAAATGAAATTCTAGACTACGTGTCATGTCTCAATTTGCCAATTGTCTTAGTTGGTGACTTCAACATTGATTTGCTTTCATCTACTCGTTCCTGCCGACGTTTTCTTGATGTCATTGAATCTTTTGGTTGCTCAAACGTCATTCATTCACCAACAAGACTAGCGTCTGAAAGTGAAACTTTGATCGACTTGTGTGTTACTAGCTATGACCCAAAGGATGTTGTCTCGGGTATTCTTACATTCGATCTAAGTGATCATTTGCCAATATATTGTTTTTTTCCCCTGGTCAAAAAGAAAAAGTGTAACATCCGTGACCCTCCTGTACTGCGACGCAATTTCGGCGTGAATGCTCTTGCTCTTTTCCGGGACATGATAGAGAATACCAGTTTTGATGACGTTTATAATGAAGAAAACCCAAATTTGTGTTACGACATATTTTTGCATAAAATAAAGCACATTTACAATGAAGCGTTTCCTCTTCGACCTATAATAAATCGCAAGAAGTCTAGGAAGCCGTGGGTTACTCGCGAGCTGTACAAAAGGATTAATGAACGTAACAAACTCTACGATAAATTTATTCGACTAAGGGACCAGACAATATTAATTAAATATAAACAAATAAGAAATAAATTAAATAAGGACCTCAAGAAAGCACGCGTTGAGTACTATAAAAACAAGTTTGCATCTATTTCGAATGAACCAAAAAAACTTTGGGGTGCAGTAGGAAGTCTAATTGGAAAACACAAGAGTAAGATTCCCGATACATTAACTCTAAATGGTATTGAGTATAACGATGCCTTAATGGCAGACAAATTTAAATCCCATTTTTTAAACGCAGGTGCGTCATTGCAGCCACATGGTCCGAACGAAAGCTTAGACAAATATATTTCATCTGTAGCTGTCGACACTATTTTCTTGGCTCCAAGCAATGAACAAGAAATATATTCAATCCTTAAATCTTTATCTACAAACACCGCAGCTGGAGAGGATGACATCAAGGCTATACCAATTATAGCTGTCGCAGACCTCTTGTGTTTTCCTCTGCAGCATATATGCAATAACGCATTAGCAACGGGCATTTTTCCTGATGGCATGAAAATTGCAAGAGTGGCTGTTCTACACAAAGGAGGCTCCTTTGACAACATTAACAACTATAGGCCTATTTCTGTACTTCCTTTGTTTTCAAAGTTTCTAGAATTTCTTATAAAAAAACGGTTTTCAAAGTTTCTTAGTGAAAGAAATGCTTTTGTTACTCAGCAATACGGTTTTACGGAGAATAAGTCAACCGAAATGGCTCTACTTAGCATCAAAAAAAAAATACTTAATAATTTTGAAAACAAACATTTCACTAGTGGAATGTTTCTGAATTTCAGAAAGGCCTTTGATTCGATTAAACATGATATTTTGTTCTATAAATTACCGTTTTATGGAATAAGAGGTGTTGCTTTAGCTTTAGTTCGTAGCTACTCATCTTGTCGACTACGATATACTAGTCTTAATGGCTACAGGTCCAAGTTAGAACAAATTTCGTACGGTGTCCCACAAGGGTCTATTTTAGGTCCTCTCTTTTTTTATTATTTATATTAATGATATCGTACGTATACCTAAAACTCCTGAAATCGTTTTGTATGCCGACGACACTAGCTTATTTTTCTCTGGCCCATGTCTGCGTGGTCTTGAAATTTCTGCTAATACATGGCTGAGCGAGTTATCGTCCTGGCTAGACTCCAATCAGCTTCAGTTAAATGTTACAAAAACTAAATATATAATTTTTAAGCCGCGAAGTAAACCGGATGACTGCGAAATTATTTTAAAATTCCAAGACTCTCCGATAGAGCGTGTCACTATCTACAAATTTTTAGGAATTCTCTTCGAAGAAAATTTAAGCTGGACTCCACATGTAAATAAAATTCATGCAAGCATCTCTAGATCTATTGGCATTTTATGCAAAATAAGAACACTTGTCCCAGGCTGGTTAAGACGTCAGTTGTATTATTCACTAGTTCATTCCCACCTTCATTACTGTCTACTAGTTTGGGGTTCAACGACTTAGACAAATATTGATAGACTGTTTGTTTTGCAAAAAAAAATAGCAGTACGTTGTATTGAAAATCTTCAGCGCACCGACCACACAACGCCGTTTTTTTCTAAAACATAGCTTCCTTAATATTAGTCAGTTATTCCAGCTTAAACTTTCAATCCACATTTTTAATGAGTTCAATCGTGACCAGTCCACTTTTTTTGACGCATTCCTTCCTAGAAATATACAATACAATCTTCGGTATGACTCTTATAGAATACCTTCCCTACCCAAAAATCCGGTATAACTTTTCGCTATCCGGATTATGGAACCGGAAATCTATCTGGATTCTATCTGGAATTTAGGTTTTCAGAAATTATTCCTTTGTCGGCAATCTGGATTTCGGGTTTCCAGAAACATATTTCCGGTTCCATAATCCGGATAGGGAAAAGTTATACCGGATTTTTCAGTAGGGTTGGTCAAGGACGAATTACGGACATACTCAATTAGCGTACTTAATTCCTGATTTCTTAAATAAACATCCGGCCGTAAGAGAAATGATTCATGAATGCGGATCAAAGCATACCTTTAAAAGAAATATAAAACGGTACCTTCTATCATGTCCCATTGAATAAATGTTTTTTGCATCCAATGGTTGAGCTTCATTTATTCTAGTGCGTCCTATGTCCCCGAAAATTGTCATGACATGACTACTGTATAAGTTATGTTGTTTTGATCTTTATTTGTGGGCCGTTCTGTTTCCCCGTGGTTTCTGTGTTTATATTACAACGTGTCGTACTATACGCTGAGCAATGTAAACTGGTGATAGGGCCAAGTCAGGCAGAACCCATCTGCCTTTTGCCTTGTCATCCGAGACCTTGTGTCTGAATAAAACCAATTCAATTAAAAAAAATGAACAACATACTTCACTGGTTTTATCTGGATGCCGTCGGCATCGCAGCTCTCGCTATTTTTTAATTGCAAAGTGAGAGAAATTACCTCCGATTCAGTAACTGGTTCTAAAAATAGCGAGGCCTCGTTTCTCGCATCACAAAAAAGTAGAATTAAAATTGTCTTTGGCGCTCGTTATACTTACAAAATGGTCATTTAAAGCCTCAGATAACAGACAGCCTGTCAGTTTTGCACCATCATGCTCTATTTGCTCGGTATTTTGTGATAGTTGATTGCGGCCTAAAATTGAGTTTAACCTTCCCCACATAATATCTACGCGTCTGTTTGCAGACTCAAAAACCTCATAATAATAGCGAGCTCTTGCGCGTCGGATCTCTTTTGTTAAGTTGTTACGATATGATTTAAATACTTTAAAGGCCTCCTGTCTTCTAGTCTTCACAAACTTGTTGTACAGTGCATTTTTCGCGCGAATTTTGCAAAGCAAATCCGGCGTTATCCATGGTTTTCGAATACGCCTGGTTTTTCGGAAGTACTTAAACGGAAAATGGGTCTTATATAGAGTAGAAAAAAGATCCAAAAAAGCGTTATAGGCCCCGTCAGCATTGACCTTACCGAGTACTCCGGTCCAGTCTGTGTTAATGACATCTTGCCGAAATGCGTCCAACCGATCCTGAGTAATACCTTGAAATAATGTAGGTTGCGTTTTGTTCGTGTTTTTAGAGATATTCTTTACGCTCAAAAATATCGGGAGATGATCGCTCAGATCACAAACAAGGACTCCACTTTTTATGTCGCCGACTAGGTGATTGACTATAAATAAATCTACAGTAGTTACACTGTGCCAGGTAATTCTGGTTGGTCGAGTAAGAAGATTCTTACAACCATTCGTATTTCGACTAGGTGATTGTGATAGCAAAATCCCAGTGGATTTCCACAGTTGCCAGATGAAAACTCCTCCAAAAACGAATTCGTTCGCATATAAATGCTTTGGCTCATTAATGGACAAAGAGCGTGTTGGTGCAGGTCAGATTGAAGAAAGAATTAACAAGTAAGGCGAAGACGACACATCTTTCAACTGACAACAGATATTTATAAGAATTCCAAAAGCGAGCAGCCGATTAATCGGTTGCTCGCTTTTGGGATTCCTATATGTCTGTTGTTAGTTGGAAGATTGTGTCGTCTTTGTCTTACTTGTTTATTTCTTCTTCAGTCTCATCTGAGGCTTTGGCTCAGCTTGGCGTAATATTTCCTTTCGGGCGCCGCAAGGCGCAGGCAAGCAGGAATTTATCAAAACGGCGCATATGGCACAACTGGACCACCTCCGAGAAAAGTGCCGTATCCTGGTGCTACTTTAAGAACGTGCGCGTATGACGTGTGTTTTGATCAAATTCCAAAGTCACGAATGCGCTTGTTGGGCCGTGGATTTGTAAGGATGCCTTTTTTTCTTTTATCTAGATCATTCTTTATGGCACGAAGTGACGGACCTGGCGAATGACAGAGTATGTTAACGATGGTTTATGTATGATACAAGCTTGTTCGTGAGCTAATAAAGCGGGCATTTGTTAAGGTGTGTGAGAATTTATCACGTGCGGACAAGGCGCCAGGTGCGGACTGATGAAGCCAATCTAATGACGCGCAAAAAAAAAAGCGCAGAATCATCCACTCTGGGACATTTGCTTAGTCGGCAACTGCAGATGCACAAAGCCGACGAGAGATGCAGTTTTGGCGCCGCTTGATTGGCTCCATTCAATCGCAACACTGGCTGCAGTCGGACTTGAAGTGAAACGATTCAGAAACATTATGCAGCGTTCCACTTGCGTTAATGCACGCCAGGGAGGCTCACCTTTTTCGGCTCTCTAGCGGCTCCTCCTCCTCCGAGCCGTCGTCCTTGCCGCCGGGAACTGGCTTCTGCAGAAGCTTCTCATACTTGAGGAGCTTCTTTCCCTTCTTCGTGGCGACCCCGATTTCGTCGCTGTCCTCTTCATCGCTGTCGGGAACGGCCTCCTGCCTGTCCTCCTCTTTCTCAGGAGCAGCCTCCTCTTCCTCGCAGTCAGGAACGACGTCCTCTTTTTCCTTTGGCACCGCCTTCTGCTTCTTTGGTTCCCCCTCGCCGTCGTCTGCACAGAGACGCGCCGTCTGACCTAGTGCATTGGTTCTGTAACTGAATTCATAGGAAGCCAGGGGTTTCCCTGTGTACCCTCAAAGATCCCCCAGCATGCCCCAAAGGGTTGCCCAGTATGCCTTCAAGAGCATACTGGGGAACCCTTGAAGCGCACTTTGCTTAACAATATGCTTCCATCAATTCTCGCTTGTAACCCTTCAGAGTTTTGGAAGATTATAAAACCTACCAAAAGAAAATATATCTTGTGGATCAAGTTATCAGATCATGCGCAGTGAAGAATGTTGATCTGTGCTAAACAACGTTCCTTCGGACAATTTTTAGATCCTTGTGCACACGCAGTGCCACAATCCACGATTTGTAAAATAGTGCGCGCCGCCTATCGCGCAACGCCAGAAACTTCAACATTTTGGGTGCGAGGCTAGAAAGTGGTTGGAATACAACTAAGCTTCGCGATGCAAGGTTTGGCTTGATACATGTGGGGCGTAAACCTTGTGAACGCAGTCTGTTCCAAGCGTTTCCTCGAGACCCAGATTGAATAGTGTGGAAAATTTCCCAGGGGCGTACAAAACCGTCGCACCCGTGACAAAATGCGCGCTGCGGATCCGGGTGTGCTCGTTCGGCTGCCATGGTGAGCCGTCCGTGCTCCTTCTCTTCACAGCAACTATCCAAGCCTCTCTCTTCGCAGGATACAGCCTGGCCGACGGAAATCTAAAAAAACTTGACGTTCTCTTTACCGTAAAAGTAATTTGCGCAACCATACGCAACACAGCGCCGGCATGGCGACCAACAAAGCGACTCGCGAGCTCTCTCCGTTCTCGCTTCGGCACCTCTGTCGCAGTCTAGGAATAGCATTTATTTTGCAATCAAACAGGGAGTGCTAGCAACAAGCTCTGCTCGCGCAAGCGCAGCAGCTTTTTCGCAAATCGTGGATTTCGTAACCGCGAGTTCTTTCCAATGAATTCTATTGTTATTAATTCTGTGGGAATGAATTTAATCTGCAAACTGAAGCTTTCCTCTAGTCGTGGCGCTGATGAATTAAACTCAAAGTATATAAAAACAATGAAGTCTATTTGTGACGTGTATCGTGTCACTCGCGTAGTCTTACGACTCAGTTGTTTGAGTCAACGAGTTTTAATAGAACTGGAATTGGCGGTTACATGAGGCATGGCGACCCAACGCCTTCTTGAACTAGGGAGAAGTGGTGACGATGTGGATGGTGCTTGCAACTAAGCACGGGCTACGGTTACACTATTCACCTGCCTTTTTATCGCACAAAAACACAGTCTATTCAGTGCTCCATGGTGCTATATCATTAGAAGGTCGTTCCTTTTCAGAATTCCGGCAATATTCAATCACGTCCTAATTATAGCCCCATTTTATTCACGAACATTGCCTGTAAAATGTTAGAACATGTGATCCACTCAAACCTTGCTTCATTTTTCGAGTCTAATTTATATTTTAGCCCATTTCAGCACAATTTTCAAAGACATTATTCCCGTGAAACGCAACTGCTCTCCTTCACACCTCACATAGCATCAGTCCTTGACCATGAATCGTTTCTCGATTGTATCTTCCTCGACTTCGCGAAAGCGTTGGACAAGGTACCACATCAGTTACTCCTCCTTAAGATGAGCACCTTAAATATTGACCCTACCATCATCAAATGGATTGAATGCTCTTTGACTAAGCACACGCAGTTTGTAACTGCTAATGAGTGTGCCTCATCTCCTTGTCCTGTGAAGTCTGTCATCTCTCAGGGTTCCATTTTATGCCCTTCGCTCTTTTTAAGATTATATATTATTGACCTTCCCGCTGGCGTTCAGTCTTCCATCAAATTAGTTTTGATGACTATGCTCTATCAGTGAAATAATTAACCAATCTGATCATTCCCTTCTACAATCTGACCTCGACAATATCTCTATATGGTGTAATAAATGGTTAGTGACTTAAGATTAGCAAATGTAAGTCACTATCAGAAACTGGACTTCCTCAGGTCTTCGTCAAGGAACAAATGCTTGCATTACCCTCTTCGCTGTCACCACTGCTGCCAAGAAGTGCCTCTTCCAAAAGGGCCCGTCGACAGGCTTCGTTTCCATTTTCCACAAGCTAAAAAAAAAGTAAGAATTATTTTTAAAAAGACACAAAACTGTTGTACAACACAGGGTGAAGGGGCTCTTAAAATTGGGGGAGAGACAAAATGGGAGATTAGCACTTTATTGAACAATGAACATTGTATGCTCAATAGTCAAGTCAAATTGTGTTTTTATTTTCAAACAAGTTGTGAGCTCATAAGGTATTTATCAAGCCAGGTGTCTCAAATTTGTTAACGAAAACAGTGGAAGGGACCCTTTGGTAATACAGGGTTAGGTTAGTAATCAAAAGTTAGGTCAGCAGTTAATGTCAACCATAGAAACAACACTCTAAATAAAGAGAACAAAGCAACACAAAGCAAAGGAGCACTTTTGGTACATAAATAAGAACAAATACATAAAACCAGTTGAAAAGCAAGAAAAAGAATATTAAATAATTAAAGTGCAAAATGAAGAACAGAAAAAAATCTATGGAGAAACAGATCATATTACGAGGAAAAATATCTCGAGGGTCACAAACTACGCAAACAAAGGGAAGCAAAGGGTCGGCAAATCGTACCTTGGTCGCAGGGACAATTGTCGGCGCTGACTCCTCCCCCATTTCCTCCTCTGAAGACAGCGAACTCAAATCTCAAGACAAAAGGAAATGGGCATGGTTACGAAAGAGTTAAAAAGAACCTTGAAACAACAGCGAGGTAACAAGTTTCGATATGTGTGTATCAAACACACATAATGAAAATGCCTCTGGGATCAAATTCGAACATCTCTACACGCATGTGGGAAATTAGTATCAATCCAGAAATGATGATGTGAAATCTGTGATCCCTTAGATCTCATCACAAACACACCAAAATCAAATGCGGTTCACTTACAAAAGGAAACATGACGGTTCAAAAAATAAAATGGCTCAATATACCCCACAAGCCTGAGATACACATGTTCTGCCATAAAGCACCAGAAAAATCTGCAAATAATTGCTGAAATCATTGCTCACATTGTCACTGAAATAACACATCATTTTGTACCGTCAAACACTGTGTAAACGTTTCTTTATTAAACTGCTAAGAAACTTCTACAAATTTTAGGACTATCTTTCGTGGGCATTTTAAATTATTTCATTTAATTTTCTGATCTAACTGCTTACTTCCCAGACGGGCCTATGTTAGCAACCAACGATTCTGGCTATAGCTTTACTGCCTTTCAAATATATCTCTCTTACAATACACATAAACATAATAACACGCTTGATAACCGTATTTTTCATACAGAAGCTAATTTATCCCATCACATTTGTTTGGGTGCATTACCCCCTGTCTGCACAATTGAAGTAGTTGTATAACAGATGCGTGCCGCCTGCCTTGGTTGCAAACTGAGACACGAACTTGGAAGTGCGCAGGGTTTGCTCAGAGATTTTATCGCATTTAAAGGGGCCGTGCAGCGATGCTGGGTTGGAATGTTTCTCACTTTACACAAGCCTACTGGCGCTAGTGGAACTGCGTGCTTGCATAAAACACCACTGACCAAGAAGCCTTTGTCGCAGCGTAATTTCATGGATAAAAGCAGACGTTTTCTTTCAATCTCCCCTTCGCAAAACTTGATGACGAAGTTGTGGGGATTGCATTGTTGGAGTTGTCAACAATGCGGTCCCCAGAATTTTGTTATCAAGCTTCGAGATCCCCGCGGAGATATTTAAATGTGGCTCATGAAGTAGACACAAGCACTGCGTGACCATCGCACTTGGGCTCGTGACAACCCATGCCTCGACATGCATTCAGGTAGTGGCTCGGGCCCAATCACTTCAATGGCGGGAAAAGCCGAACCTGAACAATGTGTGGAACCTGGCGCGTGCCCTGTGCTTTGGCGACCCCAGCACATGTCTATGATAAACACGGTGATGTTATTGGTCCGAGTCATCTCGGAGCACCTTTTGGAGCAGCCAAAGGTCCATTTTGGAACAGCAAAAAGCACTTTTGAGTCATAAGCGCACATTTTCATTCATACCACGCAAATATTGCGCTAAGATTCGTCTGTTAGCACGTCCAGCTACAAGACAATGCCTCTTGGCCCTCCAACTTATGTAGAACTTTTTGATAGCATCAACTGCATGGCAGGTTTGATTCCTTCAAACTCGGAACTAGCTGTTTAGTTTCGCGCGGAAGCACTAGACGTGCCAAGAATATGCTGATTGATGAAGGACAGTATGAGCTGCTACGATATGTTATTTTAGGTATGGAACAAAAAGTATCATATTTTCCGGACTATGGCCCGCACCCGGTGGCACAGTCGGCAGAAAAAAATTTGGGGTCAAGAATAAAAGCTTTTGCTTAGATAGTTCGCAGCCGCTGCATAGTCCGGATTTAGTGCCTAGTATGAACGTAAAAATTATCACACACAGCACACCTTGACAAATGGCTGCTGTATTAGCTCACGAAGAAGCTTCCATCATACATACATCAACACTAATATACACCGTTATTCATTAAATCCTTCACGTCCTGTCATAGGGAATGATCTAGAAAAAACAAATCCTTGTATAGTCCGCACCAGGAGATGGTCCACTTCGGGTAAAATTTCAACTTTTAAGCATGTATAGTCCGCGGATTATAGTCCGGAAAATATGGTAAACGAACCAGTATATTCCACTGAAGTAATTAATGTTGAATTAGAATAACTTTGAACACCAAAATTTATGCTCTTTCAAGTTCTGAAGGAAATAATAAAAACTGCCATTGTAATTCAGATAAAGACAGTTTGTCATTTCGTTATGCACATCAATTACATTTTATATGTAGAATGTTACAATAACAAACATCAGCACGTAAAAACAAATAGGTATCCTTAAAAACAAAAGCAGTCCACCAGAACTGTTTAACGTTATTCCCAAGCTTCCATCCAATGCTCCAGCTAACTTGATTCCGATCTATCTTTTGACTGTGCCATCGAACAAATGGAACCTATATAGAGATAATAAATCATGTTTTTATTTCCATACATTGATGGCGGAGACCGAGGGAACAAGCTACTCACAGGCAGCTTGACGAGCCCTCGACCCCCTTACAGTGGCAGCAATGAAAATAATACAAACCTCTGAGAGAAAGTATGTCACAAAATTAAAAGATTCATTGATTTCTAAAACATTAACTTAGTTCCTTTACGCGGTGAACAATGTCAAACAGAACGAAAGCACTCCAGAGACAGCTCTGTCACAGAATATAAATATCTAGAGAGTTTTCTAAGAACACGTATCATAGGGATGTCGCGAACCACCCCTAGGTTCGAATTTGAAAGGTTACGATATTTTCGAACCGAACTGAGGTTCGAATTCTAGAAATTTCAATAGTTTAGAACCGTGCCGAGGTTCGAATTTGAAAAGTTCGCAACTTTCTTACACCTTGGAGTTTCGAATTCGAATGTTCGAAGCTTTCACGGCTTATAAAAGTTCAGGTTCAAATATTTCGAATATTTCTTTTTTACTTGAGGTTCGAGAAATTCGAAGATTTCGAACTTTCCCAACTTGAAATTCGAGATATTCGAAAATTTTGAATTTCTTGGGATCTGAAGTTTGGAAAATTCGAAGCTTTCGAATTTCTTTGAATCTGAAAGTCGAAAAATTCGAACGTTTCCAATTTTTATAGACATATAGTTTAAAAAATTCTAAGATTTGAAATTTCTTGCTACATGAAGTTCGAAAAGTACGAAGGTTTCGATTCTCTTTGAGGGCTAAATTCGAAAAAAAAAACTTTGAAGATTTCGGATTTCTTTGAAGTCCAAGTTCGCAAAGTTCGAACCCCGGTTTCATGTTCCTCCACAGTTTTAGTTTTAAATTACGTTTTCACGCCTCACTGGTTTTCACGAAATCAGGTTTCAAAAAGTTCGGGTTTGATATTTAGACTGCGCGAAGTTGGTCAGGCAATTAAATGAGACGACGAGTGTCCCGGATGTGCTGGAATATTTGCCAGTGCAGAGTGACGTGTGACCATAGATCAGTGATTGTGACAGCCCGGGGTGGTCTTTAAAGGGACCATGAAGGCAGTTTCGAAGTTTTATTCGACGATTGAAATGGATGTCAGGCACGTCTCAGATACTGTTGACGAAGTTCTAGCCCAAACAGAAGTTTGGGTGCCGCACCAATCGAGCAAACAGGCGCGGTAATAATCGCGCCGGGAACGACGCCCGAGACCCCACCGAGGCGGCGGCAGAAAGGTGAACTAAAGTGCGCCGTCGAAGCGTGACGACAACGGGCACCTCGTCTGGCGATTGGTTCAAACGATAGACGCGCTCTTGGTTTCGATTTCGGTGGTGTGATGTGATGAAAAAAGTTCATTTGAACGTTGGGTAATCATTTAAAGTTGTAGTTGGGCATTAATAGGTTTCATACCTTGCATAAAAGCATAATCTGAAGCGATCCCTCCGTTTGTCACTGGTTGAACGCATCGAGCATCAAGCATCAAGCAACCATGGACAAAAAAAAAAAAAAGGTACGAGCGCCGGGGGCGGCGGACTTTTGGTTTTGGTTTCGTGCGTCGTCTCGTGTTCGCTTTGCGAACTGGTGTCTCACCAATTATGCCGCGTTTATGTGCTGTAGTAGGTTGCGCGAAAGGTCGGCTAAAGACGTGTGGTCGATCGGGCGACGTTAGTTTGCATAAACTGCCGACCGATGCAGCAATGCGCAGCATTTGGTTGCCCGCCGTCGTCTTGCGTAGAGCTGTGGACAGCGGTGTCAGGATTTGTTCTTTGCATTTCCGACCAGAAGACTTTCAGCAGCACCTTCACGTCAGCCGGAGTCTGGGTAAAAACATGAAGTTCCCGCGTCTGAGGAAAGACGCTATACCCTCACTTTCCTTGCGCAAGGAGCCCACACCAAAGCGGCAACGAAGCACGGTAAGCTCTATATACTGTAAACGATTTAATTTTCGCGAGGACATAAGTTTCGCGAATCGTCTGCAATTCGAGATAAATAAATCCCGCGAACAATTCCCGTAAAATAGAAACACAGTGCAATATCTTTATTAAAATCCCACCGCGTCGCAAAAATGAGAACCCGCGAATTGCTTCGAAACTGACAGCTTTGACCGAAATCGCGAAATATTGAGCATGCGAAAAATAAGGCGGTCACAGCAGTGGCGTCACTAGGCTCAGTGGCACCCGAAGCCAACCCCGAAGCAGTAGCCCGCCACCCCCGACCGCTGCACCCGGAGTGCAGTGCCCCCCCCCCCCCCCCCCCGCACCAATTGCTCCGCCCCCGACCGCTGCACCCGGGGCGCAGCGCCCAGCGCCGCCGCCCTCTTCCCCCCCCCCCCCCCCCCCCCCCCCCCCTTTGCGACGCCGCTGGGTTACAGTATTGATGCGGCGAATGTCATCAGCACTTGCATCAGCCTCATTTGGTTGATGGCTGGCTGTATACCAGTCATAGTTTTTGTGCTACATGTGAAGTGCGCCGTCCCACGCAGTGTCGAAAAATGAATGTGGCACACAACCTTTAGATAATCAAATTTGGCGCGTGCTATGAACAGCAAAAGTTTATAGGACGCGGGAATGAAATAGACAATTTATTCGCTGCACTTCTTTGCAGTCTGGATGTGCTCCATGACTGTTAAATAGTTGTTGAGGGGTGAGGATTCAGTGACACTCTTGAAGTGCATGCTAGCTGCAAGTTAGAGCAGCAAATAAATTGTTTAGTTTATTCCCGTGTCCTGTAAACTTTTGCTCGCATAATGGACCTTTTCCACATACCGACGGCACCAGGCGGTGGCTGCACAAACTAAAAATCGAGGAAGTGACCTACCTGCGCTACCAATCGATAATGGGAGCTACGCTGCCAGTTTCTTCGCTCTCTGAGCAGCGGCGCCTGCCCAACGAGAGTTGAAAGAGGAGCATCCGTGGCGTCCACCCAAACATCGTGTTTTCCTTTCCGTCGAAATTCTTTTTTTGTGTAACACAATTATATATGTGCTGCAGTTACGTGTTCTACTCGCTGATATACAGCCTCCTTCCGAATTTCCTCGATTTTTCGTTCCGACTTCCGCCGTTTGGCATCGGGCGCTCGCGCGTGCGCAGAACGCTTCTCGGAAAAGGTCCATTGATTGTTTTGCTCATTGCTGATTTGATATGTTTCAGAAGGGCACAACTTATATTTCACCATAATTTAGTCATTCATATTATTTTTGTCTTGTGCTACCGTGAAGTGACATTTCTGTTGTCAATTGACTGCCCTCCAGGTCACAAGTAATGGAAGCTGCACGAGCGAAAGCCCACCCATCCACCAAAGCAGTCCAGCCATGGTTAGTGAATACATATTCCAGGCATTCATAATGCTTGCCCCCGAGTTTGACGAATAGAAAATGCAATGCAACCACCCTGGCCAGTTGCGTCGAGTGGAGTAGCCCAATACTTCACCTCGTAACATTATTGTAACTTCCGTCTTGCATTAGCATGACATGACATTTGTGCTGTAAATTGACTGTGCTCCAGGTCACAAGTCATGGAAGCTGCATGGGCCCAACAACTGCCATCGACCAAAGCAGCACAACCATGGTTAGTGATACACACAGTGAAACCGTTTAGAACGAACCCACATACAGCGAATTATTAGGTCTGTTCGAGTCTGCCAGAAAGTTCTGACCTAGTTCTGTCCGAGTTCAGAGGAGTGCAGGAGTCGTGCAGCGGCGGCGCAGAACCAGTGCAGCCGCCGCGCTAGGACTGGCGCTGTGATCGGCTTTCCAAGCGGAAGCGCAGGGTGTCGTCTGCATCTGTTGGCGCTTGTTTCTCCACACCACATTGTATGCGACATTTAATTAGTCGCGGTTTGGTGACAGCATTCGTGTTTCCTTAGTTTTAAAGTATAATAACGGAATCTTTTCTGTGAATATTCTTTATCCGCGTGTACAAAAAACGTTTTCTGCACGAAATGTGTTTTTGTCTGCATTTCTAACAACCGTTCAATTCCTCTCGTTTCCATAAGCGTTTGTGTCCTTCACATTCATTTAGCAATAGTAGATTCATTCCAAGTCTCTCGAGTTTCGCATTTTGACGATGGGTTCGCGGCATCATGGTGATTTTGCGTTGGGAGTCACTGGTGGTAGGGCGCGATCGACAGCGGTCACCTTGAAGACGGATGCTTGACGCTAGCGTTTTGGCCAATACAGCTATCAACCGTAACTTCGGCGTCAAGCTGAAGCATTTATGCTGATCCTCAAGAAAAACCTGCATGGAACTACCAAGCCAATGCCGATTCTCGGCGTCGTTTTTCCCAGGCCCGTTAGTGGGCGTCCAGATATACCAGCGGGCAAAGCATGCAGTATTATGCTCAGCTACGGGGCATGCGAGGCCCAATGTGCTATATCCCAGACCTCTGCAATGTATCGGAGTCGTCAGTATGCATCCAAGAGCAACGGAAGGCGGGGACTATCAAGAGTGCAATACCTTTCCCGTGTCGGTAAGGAAAAATATCAACACTGTGGATCCCCACATAGCATCAAAAAGAAACAATTTACGTGAGCCATTATTTCAACACTTAACACAGGGATTTGATGGAACAGCGCGGATGAACAGTCACACTCACATGCACACAAAAGGAGACAGACTCGCAGCGCTGACTTACAACTCAGTCCTATATTTCTTCTTCCTCAAATCTTCAACTTCTTCACCTTTGTCGTTAATGTTGTTCCATCAAAGCATGAATTACCAACTTGCCCAAGCATCCACATTACCACAGGGAGCCAAACCTGTACGAGCAGGTGCCTAAAACGCTTTCAGAATATCATAATCAATCAAATTCCTTGTGATCTCAATTCCGCGTCCACTACGGGTACGTTATTATCATATATGAGAGGAAATGCAACGTCCGTATCAATGTTATTGTCGAACATCGCAGACATTTGAGCAAGAGCTGCGAAAAGTGGCACCGCGAGCAGAGACGGACGAGGAGTGTCGTCCGCTGTCGCCGTCTGCTTCTGCACGGACGCTGAACTGACTCCGGAGCCGGTGCAAGATTTTGAGAAACTGGGTCTGAACTAGTTCAGAACTGGGATGAATAGAACGCGCCAGTGCAGCGGCCGTCCAACTTCTGGTTGAATCGAATGCACCAGTTCCTGCACTGCTGAACTACATCAGCCAGTTCAGGCGAATCGAACAGACCTATTGTTGATATCAACTCACGAAAAATTTATATAAAAATGCATGTCAAAATTACTTTTTATAACGAACAACATACTGGCTATATCAAACTTTTCCCCCCCGGAAGGCTTCTAGAAACGTGCAAACAATCGCCTTCCAGCCTGCCCCTTCCCCCAAAAAAAGAAGTAGAAAAGAAAGAAAATTCCAAAAGCTCAAGTTGCGAAGAGAAGCGATTCAGAAGGAGAGAAAGCTAAAAAAATACTCTGCACGCACGCACGCACAGACAAAAAAAAAAAAACTTTTCATCCCAAAGTGTTTGCTTACGAAGAGAAGCGATTCAAAAGGGGAGGTAAGCTAAAAGAACACACTTTGCATGCACGCAAAAAAAAAAATTTTTTTTCAGGGGATTGTTACGAGGCATAAGTGAATCAATGAGAAAGGAAGAGCCCTCGCCTTGCAGCGAACGCATCATGGAAGTTCATTGTAAATGTTTTTGCTATATCAAACTGAACGTAGCGTTTCCTGCTGTTCGTTATAAACGGGTTTGTCTGTATTCCAGGCATTCCCGATTCCTACCCCAGAGTTTGATGAGTAGAAATGCCATGCAACCACCCTGGCCAGTTGCGTCGGGTGGAGGAACCCAGTACTTCACCTCGTAACATTATTGTAACTTTCGTCTTGCGTTGGCATGACATGACATTTGTGCTGTATATTGACTGCCCTCCAGGACACAAGCAATGGAAGCTGCACGAGCCAGAGCAAAGCCATCCACCAAACCAGCACAACCATGGTTAGCAATACATATTCCAAGCATTCATAACTCCAGCCCCCGAGTTTGACGAACAGAAAATGCAATGTATCCCCCCTGGCCGGTGGCGTTGGATGAAGCCCAGGACTTCACCTCGTAACATTATTGTAACTTTCGTCTTGCGTTATCATGACATGACATTTGTGCTGTAATTTGACTGCCCTCCAGGACACAAGCAATGGAAGCTGCACGAGCGAAAGCCCACCCATCAACCAAAGCAGCACAGCTATGGTTAGTGATACATATTCCAGGCATTTAGGATTCCGACCCCAGAGTTTGACGAACAGAAAACGTAATGCATTCACCCCAACCAGTTGTGTCCGATGGAGCCAAGAACTTCACCTTGTAACAATATTGCAACTTTCGTCTTGTGTTATCATGACATGACATTTGTGCTGTAAATTGACTGCCCTCCAGGACACAAGCAATGGTAGCTGCACCAGCCAAAGCACAGCCATCCACCAAAGCAGCACAACCATGGTTAGTGATACATATCCCAGGGATTTGGGATTCCGGCCCCAGAGTTTGACGAACAGAAAATGCAATGCATCCACCCTGACCAGTCGCGTCGGGTAGAGCCCAGAACTTCATCTCGTAACATAATTGTAACTTTCGTCTTGCGTTAGCGTGACATGACATTTGTGCTGCAATTACTTCTTTCTTGGCAGTTTGCTATGCACATATATAAACATATGGTATGTCCGTACACTACACTAAGGTGGTGCTGGTTGTGGAGTTCTTGCATTGTGCCCCTTCATGCCATCCCAATTGCAATGTGTCAAAGAAGAGCACTGAGCAGTAATGGTATACATGGTTTTTCCAACAGCGAACATCCATGGTCACCAATAGCCACCATTTATTTCCTTACTGAACATTTTCAGAAATCACTTAGAACTTTAAAATCCGGCAATGGTAGGAAATTCAAATCTCCTGGAAATTAGGTAGTCATGGCCTGGTCACTGAGGTCATCTGCATTGCACATAGCGAATTTAAAAAAAAACTGTTAAAATGGAACAAGGGAAAGAAGCTCTATGTGCCTTGTCTGGTTCTCAAGGAATTTATTTTGCTTTTGGTGATAAAAAGAAACTCATGGAACACTGCACAAAGTCCAGTGAAAGGAAAAGGTTTTGTGAATCGAAACGTGAAGTCAGCGGTGTTGCAGATTTGCAACCTACAAAATGGCGAAGAAAGATTTTGCGAATAGTTTGGCAAATCATCTAATTACTGCTGACTTCTTTTATAGATGCCACGAAAGGTGACAAGGACTCTGGCCATACAAGTTCGAACCAAGTGTCGCTCAGTTTCTACACAGACGCGTCCTCAAACTCGGTCGGCATGTACGTGCTCTTTTCATTGTGAATTGACAGTGTTTTATATGCATTCCAGCAATAAAGAGCTGAAATGCCCAACATCTTTTTCAGACGTCCAAGTGAACACGGCTATAGGACAGGACCGTGCGGTGCAGACAGACATATCTGCCACAGGCGACGCTTGGGATCTTTTAGACAGGCTACATGGAACCTCATCCCCCATCTCCGAACAAGTGCCACTGCCATCAGAGTTTCTGAGCTCCATACATGTCGAATGTGAAGGTGGGAATGATGATGCTAACGAACCTGAAAATTATAGGCCAATATCAGTTCTTAATGGTATAAACACAAACGGTATAAATGCAATATTAGGCCAATCAGAACAGGGATTCCACAGGGATCGGTGCTGGGTCCTGTCCTTTTTTATTATATGTCAATGATCTCTCGCATTTACGCAGATGATACAGCAATTTACTACGCAAATAATTCGTTGGATAATATTAATAGTATAATCAATGAAGAACTAATTATTGTCTAGGACTAGTGCAGTTATAATAAGTTGATGCTGAATTTAAAAAAAAACGAAGTATGTTATATTCCACCAAAAGAACAAATAAACTATGCTAACTGCAAAATTTATATTGCCACCTCTCTTATAGAACAAGTATATACATTCAAATATCTGAGAGTAATATTCGACTTACACTTACATTGGCAAGTTCAGATACCCTATATTTGTCAAAAGCTGTCATATGCTTGCTACATTCTGCTGAAGTCTCGACAGTGCTTCGACTCTTCAACCTTAAAAATTATTTACTTTTCGATATTCCACTCCCATTTAACATACTGTACAGAAACATGGGGTACAACCTATAACATGTATCTCACGCTCATTATTGGTTTACAAAAAAGGCAGTTTGGATTATAACTGACTCGCACTATACACAGGCATTGAGCATTTTATTTGATCACCTCAGCATTCTTCCACTTCATAAACTAGTAAAGTATAAAATTGCCACCCTGTTTCACGAAATGTTGACCACAAACCACCCATTTCCTATAACTAGAGTTCTTAAAGGTTTCCATCAAACTAGGGCAAATTTGTCTGGACACTGGACACCCCAGTACGTTAAGGGGGAAAGGCTAATTCAATTCTGTGGGACAAAAATCTGGAAGGACCTATTGAACGACCTTCGAAATTCGCATACTTTTAACAATGCACTCAGGCACGATCTCCTCTTGTCTACCTAGATCATCTTTCATCCTCATCGTCGTTTCTTTGGTATTGGTAACCGAGATTAGCTTCTAATGTAGTAACAAGATTGGGAGTACTTTTGTTGCTTTCTAATGACATATGCCTGTCGCTCTGTGCTCTTGTGATACTTTGTTAATGAGCCTGAACTAGCCCAGCGGCTATGGGTTCATATGCTTTTCCCAATATTTTGTATACCTTTTTCGGTCAATAAAATTGAATTGAATTGAACCTCCCAAAGGTCCAGCACCACCTGCCAGCTCGGAGCCTGCAGGCATGTGTGAAAACGACACATTTGGCAACTGTGGTGACTGCCCAGCTTCCCCAACCAGCCCACCTAGTTCGGAGCCACCAAGCATGTGTCGAAATGACGACCCCACCTATGATCCGACCTACGACTCAACCCATGAACCGTCATATGACAACAGTTTTCAGATGTGAGTATACACCAACTCAAGTTTACAAACAAACCGGAGGGCCCCTAGTGGACGCCACCGGAGCCGCGCACGCACGATGGGTGTGGGCAAAAAGCTCGCCGTCGCCCAAAACCAAACCATTGTAATGCGATGTTGTCGACGTCAGTGTGAGTCCCCCTCGCCTTTTTTGCATTCAAATCGTTGATTCTATGTCTTCCTGGAAATGTGACTACGATACTTGAGCAACCTCAGCGAAATTAATGAGGCTTGTTACATTGCAAAACTTCGCGTGAATAACGTGGATGCCGTAGAATGTACGCTAAAGCATGTTTCGCATGGGGAGACTTCGCTTGCAATTTTCAGTCGCAACGTCGCTCGGGCTGCAAAAGCGTGAACCAAAGCCGAGATGGTCGACGTCGGTACTGAAAATCGCAAGCAGAATCGGACGAAGTGGATCAGGCCTAACAAGTTGGTGATGGCCACTGGCAACAATGATCAGCATCTCCTTGTATCTACTGTTTACATCAAGCCTGCCTACCAACCTTCAAACCGAAGTCTTTTGAGGCCTGCACTTGCTTCTTATTACAAGTACCGAGCCAACATTTGGTCTACAGACCGGTGTTGTCTAAAAGAGCAGACGACAAGCAGAAGTGTTTGAAAGAGCAGGCGACAGTTCGAACGATCAGGCGGCCGTTTGAACTTGAAGACGCACTGAATGTAGTCCACAGGTGGTCCATACAACTTGACCATTTTTATTTATTTATTTATTTATTTATTTAAATACCTTAAGAACCCTGAGTCAGGGTATTACATAAGGGAGTGAGTTAAAAAAAATAGCAAGGTTAACATTTGGCGGAACGAATCAACGCCTTGAGCAAAGACGATGGCTTCGGGCAGGCCGTTCCAGTCCACAGATTTCGCCGGGAAAAAAGATTTAAGGAATGCTGTATTTCGAGTGAAAGAAAGGCCCACTTTTGCATGCTGGTCAATGCTAGGTGATATGCGATGAGGTGATACGCGATTTCCGGCATTCATGTTGGAACAAAACAAATAAATCTGATGACCACAAGTATCCATGAATTCAACGTGAGGCGCTTCCCGCCGAAGCAATCATGGTCCGACGGCGTCGCTTTTTTCTTTTCACGCCACATATCCACGTTTTCCGATTAATTCAGCACATGAAAACTGACCTTCACACCTTTCTTGACTCTTCTGGTACAGCCCCAGTCGCGGCGTTTTGACGAGAAAGCAGGTTTTTGTCTGGTCCCTTACAAAACAATGCAGGAATACACGTCTCACATGGGGACTTCCGCCCACAGCCCCAGACCCGAAGTGCGCCCAATGCGCCACCACCATGCCGTGACGTAACATAAATTAGTTTGTGTATACAGGCTTCAGCGATAGGTGAGCGGCGTTTTCAACTTCCTGTTACTTGGAAATTTTGGTTTCACCGTTGACAAACGACAGCAATGAACTGCAAGCCTGTGCAAGCATGGTTCTGAAACCTCCAGATTGCAGTTTTCAGAACTTTGCTTAGACAGGCTTGCGGATCGTCGTCATTTGTCAACAGCAAAACAGAACTTTTTAAGAAACTGGAAGTTGCCAAATGCCACTCACCTGCTTGTTAGTTTGCAAAGGATTTGTAGTGACTAACGAAATAGAAATGACTCAATAGCTTATTTGTTTGCCCCACCTTTGGGCCAGCATGCCGCACTTAGTGGTTTTCGACTTGTCCGTCATCAGAACACATGCACCACGGTATGTTAAGAAAGCATGTTTAAACTGAAAACTGGGCAACCTAAAGACAGCCTGTTGTACCTAACCTTTTCAGGGTTGGGGTCGTTCTCCTAAATTTGTTTTGCTTACTTTTGCAGGAATGACGAAGAAACCGAACAAGGCCATCCTCGGGGTGAAAACAAGTACATTGTGTATGAAAGTTGCCTGCTAGAGTGCTTCAGGCTCTGCATGACATGCTATGTACCGTCCAAGCCATCCCTCCATCTGAGTGGAAGCTGCCTCACTGTGACAACCCTCTGCCCTAAGAACCACTCACACACCTGGTCCAGCCAACCATACGTGGGACGGATACCGGTTGGAAATATCGATATCGCATCTGTCCTGCTGTTTTCCGGCTCTAGCCCTGCACCAGCTCTCAGAATGATGCGCCTCATGAATATTAGGGTCATCTCGGAACGAAGATTCCACGATTATCAACAAGCTTACCTCCTCCCTGCTGTGCAAACGGTTCGTAGATCCCTCATCTGATTCAAGCATAGTGTAACTTACTCTGCAGCAACGCTTTCTGCAGTGTGCCGGCATAATGCTATGGCACCATACCCTACTATGAGTGATAGGACATGTTCTCTCATGAAAGACGCATTGGGCACTTCCTTTTGGCGACTCTTGTCCTTGTCCTAGATGCAGAGATCAGTAGCGTGTATCACATTTATGCTTTTTATCATACAAAACTGCTGATGCACTTTTGTGTTGTCTCATTATCATACAGCTTCCTTTAACTGCACTGTTACAGCTGCCACACCCTTTCTTTAATATTTCCAGGTTTGGGATAGGCAACGAGACGAGGATTTGACAGCCCTTGCGGGAGAGCCCGTGGATCTGTCAGGAGATGGACGATGTGATTCTCCGGGACACAGTGCGAAGTACATGACATACAGTTTCTACTCGCATCGATTGGGCAAGATTGTCCACACCGAACTGGTTCAAGTCAAGGAAGTAAGAACCCTCACAATAATAGGAAAAACAATTGGCTCAAAGAACACAGGAACAAGACAAAGATACAAAGTGGGCAATATTTTTGACCCCTTCCATAAAGAACTTCCTTCTTTTTAGTGTCACGAAGTAAGTGCAAGCAGCAACATGGAAAAGGAAGGCTGCCCACGAGGAATTTCTTTCTTGAAATCGAGGAACGTCCTGATTCGCTCGTTCACGACTGACAGGCCCTCGAGCATAGAGGCCTACATGAGAATACACCAGCCCGCAATCCTGCATCTGTTTGACGTGTGGCACGCTGTGAAAGGTGAATGCGAACATTGTCTTTCAATATAACAAAGACCAACCTGCAGCTCTGTCTTTTGCGTGTTCTATTTCCTACCCTAGAACCATCTGAGATATTTCTGTTGTGCTTATTATAAATTGTTTAAAAGCAATCTCCATTACCAACTGTTCTATTTGGTCTCTCCAAGTGAGCAGAGGAAGGATGAAATACCGGCACACCTCATAAAAAAACACTTTACAGAGAAGCGAATAAAACTGGCCATTCCACAGCCTCTAACGACAATTATCCTGCGACTAGCTGGAGTGTGAGACTATATCTTCCTATTCCCCCCATGGCATGCGACTATTGCTGTAGCAATTCTCTCTGGGAATTCTCTCTGGGTAGAGCTTGCTTGCACTGCATGCAAAGTAGGGCATTCGGAAGTGGGGTGTTAACATCAAGCAAACATTTTTGTCCTGGAACTTATATTACTGCAGGGATCAGGAAGAAGTTGGCTGCAGGCAGCAAATGTGCAGGTTGCAAGGACCTAGCACCCTGGGTGAGCCCCGTGTGCAACCACTTGTGGTGGTGCGCAACTGCTAGCGATGGCAATGGTGAATTGCTTGCCGCAGCATGGTCGAGTGTCACGAACCATGTCTGCAATATCCACACGGGCCATAGTCCGCTCTACCCACGGTGCCTACACAAGGACGTTGGAGACAAACAGTGGATTGTGACTGGTTTGTACCATATTATTATGCTAGATTTACATCGTAAGAGCTAAAAAATATTAGTTATATACAAGATGCCGACTAGTGTGGAATCAAACTTGGTTATTTTACATGGGGAACATTGAAAATAAACTTCACAGATACGCAAAGTATCTATTGCTTGGACTGCTGCTGTTGTGATGAAACGCAGCCTGATAAGACCATATGATTACTGTTGACTCAAGCATGCAGTAGCACTCGTGCCTCGCTGCTGACTTAAAGTTTCTCTGTGCCGTATTCGAGCTACAATGCTTTCACTTTTAGCTCGGAGAAGCGGCTGATATGGGAAGCATCTGGGTTGGCTCCATGGACTTGGAAAAGTTACTTTTGCACACATCTACATTGTTTGGTTACGATTATAGGCCGAACACTAATTTTAAAGGAAAGCGTCCAAAGAAAGACGAGTTAACAGATATTTGTAAAATCATATTAGCTCTGCATAGCCATGGACGTCTATGTGAACCTAATCGATAGCCCCCCAAAAACCAATTAAAACTGTTACGTTTTTTACTGTGGTTTGCTAAAAAATGTTTCAATGAACTCTAATCTACACTGTATTACTGAATGCTCCAATTTCCCCAGGTTCACCCGCCCACACGAAACTGAAGGCCATCGCAAATGCACCTTTGTTTGCAAAAGATGTGAAGCAGCTGTCTCCTAATGCACAAACATATGGATTGGAATCATTCCATAACGTGCTCAATGGATTTGCACCCAAATCGACAGCATTCTCGTATGAAGGCATGGCTGCACGGTAAGGAAGCTAGGTGTAAGGAGGGGACTGTAACAAGCCAAAACAACAGCACTCGCAGTTGAAGTTTCTTTGAGATCAAAAAAAACTTTTAGACATAGTCGCAAAAAGATTTTCTTACACCCTAGTTACATGGGCGATTTGAACTGTCGTTGAGTTCAATCACAGTTATCGGCCTAAACTACGATTGAACTAAACTGAACTGAGATGGTGCAACACGGCCCTCTAGAACCCAGTTGAAGCTAAAACGAAACTAGTCCTTGTGTTACGTGATCAGTCTAATTGTTGAAGTAATTTACTCGGAGACACACCTTTTATTTATTATAAGTATATCATACATTATGTTCAATACATTGTTGCTTTTTAGCGGAGTTTACACGAGTACCAAAACAGATTCAGGGCTAGGTTTCACATATTTTACGCTAGGTGGTGTAAGCTATCGCCCACTACGATGGGTGCACCCATTACTATTTGTCCACTTATACAGCTGGTCCCTCCTCCATCTGCGCTCGTTTGGTGGCTTTCCGGCTTGTCAGGATTGTTTTAGCGGCAGCTCTGACGCCTAAACCTATTCCCTCCCGGATATTTTGCTGCTAAGATTCTTTCTAGACGCATTCTCCTGTATTCCGAAACAGTAAGTGCCTCGCAAACAATGGTCGGCGGCAGCGGTCCCACGGACAAGCACCATTTTAACTTTGTTGGGGAAGTCCGTTCAGTCAAACTGAGGTAGGGGAGCCGAGTTGAACTCGACTGTCATTAGCAGCTCAATGACAGTTGGCGCCGCCGTGTAACTCCGGCCGATCGCGATTGGGTCGACTGTCGTTGACTCAAAGGCTGTTGAGAGCACCCGTGTAACTAGGGTATTGCACACTTTATTTAACACAAGGTGAAGACATGAGCAGCAATTAAACAGCCTCAATTATGTTCCAGAACAATGATCGCCATACTCCACTTTAACGAAAACAGTAGCCGCCTGCAAGCTGTCACAAACGAAGGGCAAGAGCAATGGCACATCAAATCGCCAAAAGCCCAAAAAGGTGCAACCACTGTGTACCCCCAGATGACCCCCGTGACTTTTGTTAAGTGTAGCTCATTACAATATAGAATTTACACTGCATATAGAATTTCAACTGTATGAAAAGGTCACCATAACAATTATGGATGCACTATACTTCGCTCACCCCTAAGCTGAGACTGCAGTGGGAGCTACGTGCCCGTCGAACCAATCAACCGCCTTCTTCCTTTTCATCACCCGAGCCGGCTTTCTGAGCGCGGGTATGGGCGGGCCATAATGACGTGGCGAAAGAGGCGTATGACTGGTCCAACGAGGACGTAGCTTTCACCGCAGTCTCAGCAGAAGGGATGAATGGAGTATAACCTACTTTATATGTTTCTGATGGCAAAAAAGCATGAAATGTTTCTAAAAATACACCATTATCAAAATGAAGTGCTAATCACTGGCTGTGCGACAAAGTGCAATATTCAGAACGACTGAAAATTTGTGTCGTGACTTTAGAACACTTATGGTCAAATGACAGGAGCGCTTTTCAAAGAAGCACTGGCCTACACTACCTTGTCTTGAATTTCAGAGTATGTGGACCAGCTACATGAGCAAGTCCTGGAACGGTGCAAGACATATCCTACTTTCAAAGAGGCACTGGCCGAAAAGTCTCCAAAAGTTCCTCCGGCCTTTGTGAGCCCAGGACCAAGGCCATCTAAGGAAGAACTGGTATCTGCGCACAGAAGAAGGTTCGCCAAGCCGTCCCTTGAGGGAGACGGCTAGACAAGGATGAACATGTCTCCGAGTGTTTATGTAAGTGCGGTTTGGACAAAAGTGGAGCTTTCTGCCAAGCCATGAAAATCGTCTACACATGGAGCAATGAGCACTCTTTTCCAATGTTCGTACAGCCAATAAATTTATTCATTCATACAAAGCTTATTTACGAATGTTCTGGTACTTACAAGTTAGTAGCGGGGATACTTGAAACCGGTAGTGGTTTCAGAAGGGAATTCCTCTCTTATTCTGCAGACTACACATGCCGGCAGAATCATCCGGTTCCCTTTTCCAAGTCGTCTCCATAACCAGCGGACGAAGACTCGGTATGCAGTGTAGCGATAGCGTCTGCAGTAAAAGAAGCCGTTGTAGTGAAGACACACTTGAAATCAACAGAAAAAGGTTTCAGTTATTTTAGTCGCATTATACAGACACAAAATCAAAGGGAATGTTCAAATTGCAGTGTCCCTAGATTTTTGTTTGTAATTGAGCACTATGACTGATTCTTAGAATACTTGGTCCCCAACAACTGAAGCTTTCAGCTGTCAGCAGCACTGTGACCCCTGCTTGCAGACCTCTCACAGAGTGCACAATATGCAAGTGTTGCACATGCCAATCTTCAACCGAGTGAGATTTGCTTACTATGAAGTGCACACATTGCAGGACATGAAGCCTACTCTGAATGGTGTGGGAATTGAATCTGTTGCATGTCTCCACATTGACTTGGCATAGAAAAATTAGTTTTACACCGACCAAACATTGTCACGGATGGAAAAAAGGCTCGGGAAATGTGAACTGAAAATAAAGGTTTAATTGGCGAACTTGTGCAAGTAAACAAAATAGAGAATGAGCGTCGGGATAGCAGAATAGCAGGTGGCGATTCGGCGGCGTAAGAGCAGGTGAGAGCGTTCGGGGTGAGAATGAACGGGCACTTTCGAGAACAAAAATGCAGGACAAAATGTTAAGTTACATCCCGCGTAAGAATAAACGATAATGCTTGAAGTCCGTGGCTTTCCTAAGTTTGATTAGATGGTACAATATGGGAAGACGGCCATGGCACCTGTTTTACCTGTGAATATCGTCGTGCATAGGATACCCCAGCCCCCTTAGCTCGAAGTAGAGCAGACGGAGAACAGGGATGTTGAGGCACAGCATGCTGAACTCCGGGTGCTCCGTGATGCACCCAGCTGGCTGAACCCGCGTCAGCGCCGTGCCCATCTCACGACAGCAGATGCACTCCCCCTCTGTGCCATTCTCGAGAATACCGCAGTTGTTGCAGCTGCACCTAAAAGAAAACAGCAAGACTGTTGAGATCGCAATGGTCATCAACCTCATGTGAGACACATCACAAGAAGTGAGCTATAGTCTTTTGAAATAAAATTGAAACCAATACAAAAAAAAAGCGAGCAGTGGTGTTTTAAAAAAGCTATGCAAATAATACCAAAAGAAGCATGCAGTGGTGTTTGAAAAGAATTTAATGCACCGTGGAAGGAACTTTGGAAATCGGATACTCTTTCGGCGTATAGACAATTCACAAATAATGCAACTTGTGTCTTTTGCAATCGAAAAAGGGCAGGCTCCATCCAAAACGTAGAAAGGGTAAAAGCACAGGCGAGCTGGTGAAGAACTTCCATCGAAAACTGAAGACACGGCAAAAAAAAAACAAAAAAAAAACGGAGAAAACAACAAGTCTTAACACATGTTGTTTTGTCCTTTTTTTTTTTTTCGTGTCTCCGGTTTACGATGGAAATCCAAAACATAGCGTAAATTAACGCGTCTACCGCTGTTTGCAATTTTCTCGGCTTATCACGTGATTTGGTGACGGATGGAAATAGTATAGATTCAATAACAATAATATCTTTATTCCACCCACGAGGGTTGCGGTACCACAGAAAGGCTATTAGCCTGTACCTGAGGCCTGTGGTGCCGCAACAACGCTGCCTACACCATATAGTTTTACTCTTAATTTTAGGTGTGGGTTTTTACAGATTCAACCGGCCAGGACTTCCTGCTGTAATAACAATTCTCCTCAGCAAAATAAATGCAAGAAAGGGAAATTAAATTTATCTTTTCGCAGCTATCAATAAGTAGAAATAACCACTTGCTTTGCAGAGTGACGGCACGCACAAGCCATGTGGAGTATCAACATTGCAAGACGGAAGTAGGAGTGGCTGGCACATGCACTTGGTTTGATTAGCCTGATAATCGTGACAGCGTAAAGAATACCAATTATGAAGCAGCGGCAGCGCGACAAAATAGAAGCGGTACTCGTGCGCTCCGATCGACTACGACTGATCATGTGCCTTAAAAACGATTACAATACGCTCTTCAAAGGGGACACCCGGGGAAGTCAGCAAGCGATACATCAACCATGAAATATGTGGCACGTTGTTACAGCCTTACCATTCCGTGTTCCCGTAGCGGCATTGCGGCGGCGTCGGCGAGTGGGGCGGGGAGTCGCTCTGAGGCGGCGACCGAGGAGTCGGTGGTAGGTCTGGGGCGCCCTCGTCAAGCGCCAATCCAGAGCTCTGCGTCCTTAGCAGCATCTCCCGTTCAGTCGGCGTGAGGTCGCTGAACGGGAGCTCAAACTCGTTTGCGAGCGCGGCGTTGTCGTCCATTTCTTCCAGGTTTTCTTCACGGACCGCCGTGCACTATAGCGAACCACGGGAACCACACCGAGTGTGCACTAAATCCTACCGATGCCGACAGTGCTCCTTGACGTCACTTCTCTTTCCAGAGGCGAAAAAGGGAAGAAATCTGAATGTTTGTTTCGGTTTCGCAAATTTACTTGCAGGTACAGAAATAAGAGTCACAAAGTTCTAGAAAAAATTGTGTGGCATGCCAGGACCCCAATGCTTCCGAAAACACCTTATTAAAAAAAAAATTAAATTGCCTTCATGGTCCCTTTAACGTGCATCACGCAGTAGTGATCAAAGGAACGCACTGTTTTACGATACTCATTCAGTTCGAAACGACCAGGGGCAGGCAGGAAGTTGAGGCTCAGAAAACCTTGAAGCGATCTGGCAAACAACCTCCCCATCCCCTTGCACCCTGGTAATAATCCGATCCAACGCCGCCCGAGTGACACTGGCATATAGTAAGTTTAGTTTGTAATTGTTCTGGAGGTCTATTTTCCGGGACGGAGGAAACGCCGAGCAAAAAGCACAGAAGCCGACACAACTCGAGGTCGAGGAGCGTTCTACCATACCATAGGAAAAACGGGGGGGGGGGGGGGGGGGGGGGGGGGGAGGTTGGTTGGTTGGTTGATTTGGTGTTTATGGCACAAAAAGCTATTGCTGGAAAAGGTTTAGAGAGATAAAAGAGGCTTTCGTAGCCAGTGATTAGATAAAAGATAGTAATGGGGTACTGTAATGTAGTCCACTCGAGGCGTCGGGTGCGTCAGGCACGGAGGACCAAGGGTTTATTTGTACATGTACGTTGTGTACGTGCTCTAGGTCGAGCAGCCGTAACCGAATGGGGGCACGCGGAAGGAGGCCTGGCTCACGCAGCAGCCGGCGCTCGCGTGGACCGTCGCACTGTCTCGCGGCCGGCGTGCCACCACAGACCAGTACACGACAGGTACCAAAAGGTAAAAGGGTGATAGGCATGATCTGTAGGTTAAGAAGGCTACAATCGGTGTAGAAGGCCGATACTATCTAAAAATTTGAAAACATTAGTGTGTGTCACAAGTGGATTATCCCTTAAGAGCAGAGCTGGGTGTATAGTCGGTTACAAGTCAAGAAGGTAGAGTCAAACGCCCCTCAAAGGGAATCTTGTATTCCTCCGCCACCAATCGCGTCCCGTTGTTTCCGTGACGTCACGACCTGGCCGAACCAATCTTGTTCTGGCAAATGAATATTTTCAACATGGCTGCCGGGCAGATTTTCTACGACTCCAGCATCTTGCAGCAATTATTCTGTTTTTTAATGCGGTTTTTCACTTACCCGAGCTTACATCGCAAAGTCGTAACCGCGTCCACTTTTATTCGCAATAGATTCTGCGCGACAGCGTGAGAATCCAGCGATGGCATTGCCATCGACAATTTCGATGCGGGAGTAAGGCCTAGCATCGTACATACGTCGAACGCTGTCTGCTTCTCTGCCTGAGGTTGCGCCTCAACATCGTGACGGCATCGGCTTTTCTTCGCAGTGGTTTCCGTGGAGCGACGTTAGAATGCAGCGGTCACCAAACTCTTCTTTATAACTGTGGTGGGCTGTGCGGGAGGGGCATAAGTGAACCGCGAACACAGTAAGTGTGTTCACCCGATTTCGACTGCATCTTTGCTGGCGTTAATAAATAGACTGCCTACTGAAATGACGCCTTCGAAGCAGTATGTATTCATCTGTGAAACGTGGCGTCCTTGT